TAAGCTAAAATTTAAATCTCCGTTAGAAGAGGTGTTCACATTTAATGCCTAATAACACCTCGAATAAAATTGCCTCCAATAATACCCGTGTCTAGTCAAAAAGAACATTTAGTATTTGATAATTCCTCAAACAAAATTACTTCCAATATGAAAAATACGTGCGCATAGCAAGAAAAATGTACCTACAAAAAAAAAGTCATCATCTTCATCGAATATGTCATATTTAAAGGTTGAAGAAAAAAGAAAGAGAAAAGTAAAATTACATCCAAGACCTCATCAATCACCCCAAAAAAAAATTGTAGATGCGATTTGCTGATCGACATGTATCCCTTAGGGATAGTATTATACTCCCAAAAAAAAAAACTATGAGGACCCATCTAAAAAACTGAGACAAAATAAAGGGGTTTAGGTTAACTTTTCCTACCATATTAACATCAATCATCAATATCAATGTCAATATAGAATGTAAAAAATTTACATTAAACCTCCATATTGTGAAATAACTCATTTTCTTATCATAAGAAATACGATGAAATCATCCTGGGCCCTGCCCTTCCCACAAAACAGTTCACCTAATCCTCCACTTCTACCACCAACGTAACCAAGACAGTTGTCTTTATCCTTAATGACCATGACAGAGATAATAAAATAACGCAACTTACCCAAATAAAAATAAAATAAATGATAAAATGGTAATTTACATTAGAAAGGGAAACCCTTTGTTGAATTGTATATGGCTCACTCACTCGAAAAGGAAGAGGAACTCAGAGAGAGAGAGAAGACGAGGCAGTCTCTTAATTTGCTTCAAATATTGCATTCAAGCAAAATGTTATGGCCATGAAAATGTGAGATTTTTCAAGCAAGAGCAAAGAGGCCCAGGAAACAAAATATTGAACTCATTCATGGTTCTCTTTTTCCGCTCCCTCTCCCTCTTATTTACTATCAATTATAGATCCTAAGATCCCAAGTAAAACATGAGCGCAGAAGAAGACATGGCTACAAAAGATATCACACTGATCGACACAGAGCAACAACACCACCTGAAACTCAAACGTACTCACACTCATTAGTAATTTCCAAATTATTCTGCTAAACTCTTGCGAACACACACACACACACACAGCAACAGCCAATAAGATCAGCTTTAATTTAAAACCGAAGGAGGCTTAATTCAATTGGAAGCCTGAAGAGCTTGTTCCATAGCAGTGAGATCAGCCTCCATCCTCTCACCCATCACTTTCATGCCAGAGCTAGCGAAGGAATCCAACTGTTGCAGAGTCCATCCCTGCGCAGGCTGAACTTCGTATTCCCACTCAACTTCACTTCCTTCTCCACAATCCTTCACTCTCCATGTGGCTACGTACGAGTAGAATCCCACGTTGCTCTCTGTGATCGTATACTTTAAGGTCTTGTTCGTGTGGTCAATGGCCAGCAGTTTCTGCTTCGTCCAATTCGTTGTCTGTCTGTCCTTTTGATGATCCACCGGCGTCTTGAAGCCGGCACAGAAGCGAACGCAGCCGGGTTGGCCGGAGACGCCTTCCACCGGGATGCATGTCGGAGTAGGGAACCACTTGCTGAGGCCAGTGAAGTCGGTGATGAGTGGCCATACTTTCTCTGCTTTGTGTCCCCTTACCTCCGTCTTCGCCTTCCCCTTCCATTTTCTCCCACCAGCTTCTTCCATTTTTCCTCCAATTAACCAACCAAACTGTATTCCCACACTGATCAGTATCAGCACTAGTGCAAAATATTCATTTTACTACTCAATTTTACTTCTGTTAATTAAGGAACAGAAGTGATAGTTAATGTCTCATATTTTTGCTTCTGTTCGACTTTGAACAGATGCTATATATAACCTATGACTACTGTTGCAGAAGTAACCGAAGTTGTAAATTACTTATGGCATCTGTTGCACAAGTACCACAAGCAGTACATACTATATTATATATAAATTAAATTTTAAAAGTTTTATACATTGAATGCCACTAGTTAAAATTATGAAAATTTTTAAAGATAAATGTATTTTAAATATTTCACGGGAAATAATAATTAAATAAATGAACAACAATTTAAAAATAATAATATAATTACATTATAATACAACAATATAATTAGTTATCTATATTTAATTATATGATGAATTAATATTAATGACATTGAATTCATTATATATTAATATCGGGCCAAATATTTTAAAATTTCTTTATATATGGCATTTGTTTTATTTTTTATCAGTCATAAATTAAAAAAAAAAAACTTTTCGTATCTAGTGCAGTAAAGACCTGACGCCATCTGTCTTTGAAAAACATAATTAAAGACATATAGAGTCTGGTCGAGGAATGACCTGACGCTATAAAGCTTTTTTTTTGGAAAAAAAAATAAAGCCTCCAGGCACTTCATTCGCGCGGCCACACCTCTGCCCCAATTGTTCTTCAGCTTGATCGCCACGGGTTTGCTACTGCTTTGTTCATTCGCTCCATCGTTCAGTCGCTCTCGCCCTCTTCAGTCTTCAATGCTGTGACCACCATGGGTTTTGCTTATCACACCGTGGGTACTCGTTCCACTATTGTTTTGATTGCTTCTTCGTCCTCCTTATCTATTTTTCTCTACCGTGTTCGATTTTTGTTCTCTCACAGCTTTATCCACAATTTCTTCGTCTCTGAGTTCTGTTGCTTTAATTGGACCTCAAGTAATCCAGCCTTCATGCCCTATCTCTCTTGTTTCTATTTCTGTGTAGTCATCAAAAGAGAATGTTACCTATTCTTTTGGTATCCATTCGACCTCGAGATATTTGTGCCAGCAATTTATTTTATTGACGTCTAGCCTTCACAGTCTAATTGTTAATAAAGCGTTATTGTTGGTATTTGTGGTTTCTAGACTATTGCATCGAAACGCATCTTGAAGGAGCTCAAGGATTTGCAGAAGGACCCTCCTACTTTATGCTGTTTGAGTGAGCTTTTCGATCCCATTCTTATATTTCTTTTTCGGGCTTGTTGATTTTCATGATTAACAGCTACATTTGATAAATCATATTGCAACCCTTCCCTGCCAATAGCAAAATAGTCTGAACCTTCATTTTCAACTATTTTTAAAATAGAGATTCTGTGTAAATGTTTTTTAAGATCGTATATGTTAAATAAATCAATTGCTATTCTATGCAACCTTTGTTCAATTGACTCGGAATTTGGTCAGCAAAATTTTCATGTTCTCTTTTGTTCTTTGATGCTCTGTAGGAGTGAATTGATGTTTTGAGAACCATGCAATTAGAGTTAAATATATTTTGGATTAAGTCAAAGGTTGATCAATAATAACAAAACCTATAACCCAATTTGATCTTTCATATATTAGCTTGTTTTAACATTGATTAATAAACTAGAGAAGTGAGAAGTTACTAGTAGAGTAAGTTTTCTATAGTGTAACGTGAGAAATAAGAGAAATGGGTGGGGCAAGCAATAGGCATATCAGAATGTCATTGAAAGAAAGTGGCAGCGACTGATGATTGGATGCTATTAACTAGGACTCTTAAATAGGTTATATGTCGTTGCTAATTGTACTAGTGTTATATACTCATAGGTACTGTTTGTTTAATTATCTTGAGCATGTAATCTTTATGGATGCCCATAATCTGTTTATTAACACTATGGCTAGATGATCTGACAAGAAAGTTAACTAAACCTGCAAGTTTTTCATTTATGATCGTTGATTTTCACTGACTTCATTGACTGCAAAGTCAAGAAAAAAAAAAGAGACATTGCAATCTTAGTGCTCTTTAGACTTGATCATAAGAAATTTCTTCCTTGATTTTATATTTGAAGGCTACAAGCAAGATACTAATTAGTGAGAAACAAATCAAGATGTCCATGAATGGTATGTCTTCAATAATTAACAAAAGCAGTGGCTTAATGTTTGGTGTTCTTTGATTGCCTTGTTTAGTGTTTATGATCAAGTGATTATTCATAATGCTTGTCTGGTTATGCTTAATGTTTATGATTTATCAGCTATCACTAGTGCAAAATACTGATATAACTACTACTTTTGGTTTATATGGGTCTTTGATGGGTCTTGGCTCCTTCTTCGTTCTGTCTTTGTTTGTGATCTCTTCACTTTTGACCGCAGTTGCTTCAGTCCAAGTAAATTTTTGCATATGCTAATCATTTTGGATTCTTGCTATAACTTAAAAAAATAGTTTATCAGTTGAGGAAAGTCAGATTCTTGTGCTGTTTTATTAAAAGAATTTGTTCTTGTGTATCTTATATTGTTGAAATCTTGTGTTGAACTGTGGCTAAAGTTCAAGTACTTACTGAAATCTGTGTGGTTCTTGTTGAAATTTGTCTTCTTTTTCTTTTTTTGGTTGAATTTGCTGAAGTGTGGCAAGTCACTGCAATATTTTTGCTTTTGGCACCAATAAATTTAACAATTAACAGTTTGTCAAATGACATTATCTAAGGAAATGAATATTTGAGTCAAAAATAGAGTTGTTATAATGAGAATATATATAATTGTTGTTGGTGTTCGAATGGATTACAGTGGATTATTATATATATAAAAATCTGTTTCAAAAATCTGATTTGAATTGATTATTATATTAGAGCAAAAATCATTTACATTTTAGAGAGTTAAATCATAACAATTTCATATGTCTCTGTGTGTGTAGGGACTAAATCCATCTATCCTACCTAAACTATAACCCCTGTTCTGTTTGTTCTACGAATGATGCTAGCAGGGAGACACACACACACACATATATATATATGAGAATGCCCTTTGTTTTATTTCAATTGTTTTCCCATTTATTTACACACACACACATATATTCTTATATAGTCAATTTTATTTAACAATCAAAGAAACAAAACAAAACATTTTGATTTTCTGAGATGTGAAGCAAAGCATGTATTTGATTAGACTCCATATCTGCGAGCAATTCTTTTTTTTTTAATTAACTCATTGATTATGATGTTTATGATGATGTACACTTTATGTTCACTGTTTCTTGTTATTAAATTTCTTTCATTGACTTGAAGCCTATCGAGTTGAGCATTGATGAGCAACCTTGGTGGCTGTGACATGTTATGGTATATTGTCCTCTTTATATATGTAATTTAGGTTTTTAATTACATTGCAAATTATACGAGGGATATAACTTTAGATATTAAAGATACATCCTTTGATGACTATTCGGTCCTGAAATGGTAGGATAAAAAATTCAATTCTTGAATATATATGTATATTGTTCTCCTAGGCTTAATAATAGATGATTCGGTTTCGATTTGAAAGTCTAGATTGGTCATGTCTGGCTGTAGATCTTGTAAATTTGGATAAAAACAATGTCCCTAATAATAACGGATTGTTCTATCGTTCTTGTGTTAAGTGTTTGAATATGTATTTTATAGAAAAGAGTCTGATGAGCTGGATGTGTGTCCATATGATTCAAGCTTTTATTAGCTAATGTCAATTTATAACAGAGGTATAAATAACCATATGATTTCTTTCATTTCCCAATTAGCACCAATTATAGAAAGGTACATGGTTCTAATTCATCTCTCAGTTAAGTCAAAACTTTCTTAATGATGTGGCATTCATATAAATTTATATTGTAGTGATCATTGGAGGCTTCTTGCTATCTATCCATGTAACTAGACCATGTATTGGTTTTGTTCTTTGCAATGGGTCCATTTAAAGGTATGTATTTTAAATTTAAACAATGATGAGATTAATTATATTGATTGCCTTTGTTTGTTGTATATTTATAGTGCCATATATAACTAAAAGATGTGGAATGTGGGTATTATGTGATGACGTAAATGCATAAAATCATCACTAAGAGTATAACCAACTCATTTCACAAGGTAATGATATTATATATCAATAATATTTTTAGTTTAAACATTCCGTTTTTTTTTAAAGTATTGCTGACATTAAAATTTTTTTGCATTTTGCAGCATTTTCAAAGTTTGAACACATATTGTGACTCAGATGAGAGGAATACGCGACATTTGGTCAGAGTACTTCTTAAATTTAACAAAATTAGAGTAGAAGATGTATAAGTTGTACGTTTCTCCTTTTGTATAACAAAATTAGATTTTTATTGACAATTTATTTGGTTTTGTTCTACATATGCTACGAATTGGTGGTTGTATTTAATATTAAATGTAGCTGGTTATATATAATAGTGGGTTCCTATATGAGAGGTGATTATTTAATAAAAAAATATTTTTTAAAAAAACTACCACCTACAGCTTCTGTTGTAATACAAAACAGAAGCCATAAGTACCAACATATGGCTTCTATTATAATACATAACAAAAGCCATAAGTGGGTACCTATGGCTTCTGTTACTCTTGAAACAGTCACCGTAAGTGCTTAATCGTACGGTTTCTGTTCTTTCATAACAGAAGCCGTAGGTAATACTTTTCACTACTGTTGCTTCTACTAATGCACATATACAGTAGTGAAAAGCTACTTTTAACAGAAGCCAAATGGGGTATTTTGCACTAGTGCAGGTTGCTTGCTGTGGTGTGGTTTGGACATGGTTTTATACACAGAGCATGCGTTCGCCTTAGTGACTCGTGAAAATTTAAATCAAATAAAAACACATAACCACATTGAGAGGCTGATATATGACACATGCCATATATCTTCGAAACGTGGTGATAAAGAGGTCACTCAATAATCAATATGGTCTCTCCTTTTCTTTTCTTTTCTTTTGTAAATAAGAGGAAGAAGTGGAATATTTACACAACATAACAAGGCAAGTAGGTGAAGATTTGACAAATACAGACAACGTCCGCCATTCGAATTGCATTTTACACGTTTAAAACTAAAAAGAAAACGCAGTGGACTTTTCATCCATCGTGCGTCATGACATGTGGTGGCGCTCTCATAGAAAATATCTGATTTTATTATTACAAAGTCGTTACATTGTTTGGTTTGATTGAATGGAATGGTTCACATTCACCTTAAATTTTTACAGTTGAGGACTCAAATTTTATGAATGAAAAAAAAATTATATTAAAGGAGTTGTCCTCAATTAGACGGCGGAATGATTACTTTAATGTTAAATTAAATATGATATGATAGTACTACTTTCGTTCCAAAATATAAGAGCTAGTTAACTAATTTGAGTAGATTAACGAAACAAGTTAAGTTAGTTATTTGTAATAAATATGTGTTGTCTTTTTTAAAATATCCTTACTAATCAAATTTATGGGTTAGAACTACCATTATCAAAAAGACTATTTTAAAAAAAATAAATAAATATGAAAGACAAAATAAATTAGAATCATATATTTAACACCAAAATAAAAGTCAAAATGAGGTTTCTCTACGAAGGACTGGAGGTAGTATATTAGATATTAAGTAGCACTTTTTTAAATTATTTTAATTAATAAAAATATTATTAAAAAAAGTACAATGAAAATTGATTATGCTGGGCGACTTTCGCAAGGTACAGTGCAAAACGCCAAAGCCACTAACGTGAGGTGGGGCACAAGGTCGTTTTTAATGTGGGTCTGGTATCTCTGTCCGCCATGTATTACTCCCTATTCTTAATATAATGATTAGATAGCTAATTTGGATTTATTAAAAAAAATTAGTTAACTTGATTATTTATTACAAATATGTTTTGGTCTCCCTAAATTAAATTATCATTTTCAATTATATGTATTGGATGATGAGAATTATCTCTTAGTGTGAATCCTTTTACTATCAATAGGAATATTTTTTTTAAAAAAAGGTGATAAATTAAGATCATACATTTAGAATCAAATTCAGCTCTCCAATTAATTTTTATATTAACAAGAAGCGGACGTAGTATATTATTCCAAGCCTTTACCCCTCCTGGTCCCTCTCAACTAACACCCGCATATGAATCTTTACTACTAGATTTTTGTTGTGCGGTTATTTAATACTCCTCTTGTTTTAAATATAATATTCATTTTATAATACAAAATATACTATAAAATGGGTTTTATATTTAAAATCAGAAGAATATATTGACCGGAAGGGATTGAATATGAAATTCTCTACCCACTTATAATTTCATCCTTCACCCTTAAAACGGCAGGACTTTCTACTCTACTCTACGCTCTTTTTCTCTTAATCATAATTGGATTAAAACTTCAACATTCCATACTTAAAAAGTATATAAATAAATCTTATAATGGCTAAAATTTAATCTGAAAAGCTCATTACTATTTAATGGTCCCTATTTAATATTTTATAAAATATCGTTATAATTTTAGTATTTTACTTAAAAATAGATAAATAAATTTTAACTACTAAAATTTGATCTAAATAACTCAACTGAATTTGGTGGAGGAGAGAAAAACCTATGAGATTCTGGTGTTTGGTACCCCTGGACAGGGAGCACATGTAGCTAGGTCGCAGTGAGTTCATGCTTCTGCCCTAAATATATAGCATGTAATTGATAAAAACATGCACGCAAGGAGTTTATTTTAGGGAGAATTGTAATTAGGTCCCACTCAAGGAAATTAAATACAAAAAATTTTCTTAAAATTATGAAATTATTCTGAAGTCTCAAGGGACTTTTTTGTAATAAATTTTATTTGTTTAATTACAAAATTACTCTTTTTTTTTTAAGTTTGTATTGACAACTGAAAGAGCAGTGGTTGACAACTTAGGGTATAAGGATTGACAACTATCGCGATTGGTTTGACAACACATTTTCTCAGCATATCACACCCTAAGTTGTCAAATCAGTCGTGATAGTTGTCAATCCTTGCACTCTAAGTTGTCAACCATTGCTCTTTCAGTTGTCAATGTAAACTTTTTCAAAAAAAAAAGAGAGTAATTTGGTAATTAAACAAATAAAATTTATTACGAAAAAGTCTCTTGGGATTTCAAAATAATTTCATGATTTCAAGAGACTTTTTTGTATTTAATTTCTTTAGGTGGGACCTAATTGTAATTTTCCCTTTATTTTATGCCATATTTTCCCCAAATCTACCCTACATTAAAGATGCATTTTCGAAAAGATCTCAAAAAAATTTATTTATAAGTCAAATTGGACAACTTTTGTTTACAAACAAACTCTCATGCTTACAAATTTTTTTGGTCAAAACTCATGCTTACAAGTTAAACTTGTAAAAAAATAGTAGAAAAATTAGTCTTTCAGTCCTTTAAATTTTAGCTCAATTATAACTTAACCTCTCATTATAATTCGATGTAACCCAATCCCTAAATTTTTAATAACTCGCTTAAAATTTAGTCATTAGTATTTACTCCATTTAAAAAGTTTACACTTATCATCCACAAGCAGAACTGAGTCATCCAACCTAGCTTGAATCAACAACCATATAAAAGCCATGTCAGCATGAGGAGAGAAGGAAGAAAAGCTTGGGCAATCAAAAATGTCAAAGAAGAGACCATTGCCAGAGAAGGCAAACCTAGTTCTGACATTTTGCTAGGTTAGATGACTCAGTTTGACTTATGAATGACAGGATAAAGTTTTTAAATGGAGTAAATATTAATAACTAAGTTTTAAAAGAGTTAAAGTCTCGTTTGGATTGAGATTGTATAAAGCTATTAAAGAGTATTTAATATGTGTAATTTCTTGTTACATGGGACTAAGTAATCCCATATAAGTAGGATCAGGGAATACTACCTCCCCATGGTATTTTTCAATCCCGCATACATGGATTTGCTCAATTCTAAATAATAAGCAATCACTTATATTAAATACTTTTTTAACATATAATTTTTTTTAACCTCAACTTCAATCCTTACCCTTATATGCAATGTTTTGTAGCAAACAGGATATAAAAGTTTAAGGTTTGAGTTATGCCGAGGGCTGAATCATAATTGAGTTAAAACTTAGAGGATTAAAATATTCATCTTTCCAAAAATAATTTTGTTAGAAAGTTTCTGTATTTAAATTTTTCACCTGAGATTTATGAGTAATTTTATACACAAAAAATGATGAACCATGGCTTAAAATCGAAGTCCCATGACAAAATATCATTTTGGCGTCTATTTATTAAAAATAAGTTTTAGTTAAACTTTATTCATAACTTATTTTTTATAAATAGGTTCGGGTAATAATAATCCCCAACAAAACATAATCTTCGGCCCAAAAAAAAAACACATAGAGCAGGGAATATGGGTTGGAACCCACAGGTCAATCCGCCAACCAGCTAAAAAAGAATGGGTTAGGATTGGCATTTTGCCAGCCAATTAAAATGCAAGCTACTCTAACCTGCACCGTATAACCCGTGAGTTATAGCGGGCTAACTCGCAGGTCGACCCGCTTAAGTCGCCATTTTTTTTCCTCCACATAAATAATAGGTTGTTATATTTGAAATTTTTTCCCCTTGTTTACATTTCAATTTTCATGTTACATTATATATATAAAAAAATATTTTTAAAAAATAAGCATAGTATATTTATAAAAAAAATTTAATGACTAAAATCAAATATAAGACAATATTTGTAATGGAAAAAAAGTGTTTTAGAAAAACACGGTGAATCAACTTTTAAAAAAAAAATAGATAAATGCCCTTCTAATTTATTAAGAGATAATTTTTTGTATCAAACATGGTACTTGTATGAAAAAAATTGTAAAATTTATCACTTGATGAGTTGATGTTGAATGTTAATCATGTAAAATATTTGTAATGTATTGTTTTATATTTGTATTGACTATTTTAAATGTAGTTAAACATAATTTATATTTGTAATTGCTTTTGAAACTTTGGATCACTATTTATTAATTTTAAAACTAAGTAAAAATAGGGTTTAAAAATTAAGAATTAAAAAAAATGACAGGCTAGCGGGCTAGCCCGCCAATCTGCTATAACGGGTCAAGGTTGGTATTTTTCCAAACCTTCAAAATACGGGCTCCTTCAACCCACACTGCATAACTTGTAGGTTGTGATGAGCTGGCCTGCAATGCACGAGCTGCCTCTATTCTCAGCTATAAAAACACACACACACAAAGAGACAACGCAAGTTTACATCTAATATTTGCTCATGCGGTCGAATATGCCTCCACATCCTCCTTTGGAATTAGAAGGTTTGGGAAATGATTTTAATGAAAAACTCACCTTCCATCCTCATGATAGGTTGGAGCCACATAGACGCAATATAATACTACCTCCCTAAAATATAATAAAACAAACTAGTTAAATTAGGTAATAGATAGATATTATTTATTTGAAAAAATACCTTCATTAATTGTGTAGATTTAAATTTCTCCCTGATAGTATAAAATTTTTTTTAACATATTCAGTCATTGTAAGGATTACTTAGGAGGAGAATAAATGAATATTAAAATCAAAATAAATTGATATTTTATATTTAGAACCAAATTTAATCTCTATATCTAACTCTTGGTGCACGATCATCACATATATCTTCTTTCTTCATTGATATTTTGGTTATTGCTGTTGGCCTCACCCACCTGTCAATGTCAACATGAACCGTTTTTTCTTTTTCCTTTTTTTTTTTCAGAAATAAAAAAGAAGACAAGGGAATGATCACGATGAACAGTAACTGCGCTATGTTTTTGTGTCAGGATGCATCCGTTTTTTCCTAACCAACCAATCGTTTATAGTTATACAACGATTTTATATATAGAAAAATAGATTAATCCGAAACTTCCACAGAAACTAGGAAGGAAGCGTCACGGTGCCAGGGCCACAGCCTTAAAATCACGTTGGATTGAATGAATTACAAATAATACAAACGGTCCCCTCAATAGTCCAGCCTAGCTGAAATATGAACCAGAAGAAGTTAAGGGTCAAGAAAGAAGACAATCTCGGCGAAGTGGTGAAGCATAATGCAGAAACAAAGGCCAATCACAAAGTGTCTCTGATCCACTACCACTGCTTTGTCTGAAATATATGCATCCTTCAATTTTAGATACCACTGGTAGTGGCCAAGTATTTTATTGTCCTTGTTTGTTTCAGGGCCCATTTTCAATTTTGACACAGTCCGCACTACATTCTCAAAGCACGTTTATTTACATGTTAGCCAGCAATACAGATAGTGACCGGAGCTGAGCAAGATGCTAAACAGCACAAAAATAGTCCAATTGCATTTTCGATTTTCAATTAAAAAAGTCATAGGACAGAATTTCTGGTTTTGTATGGCTATTCAGTATGAAGCTTGCCAACACACAGCAATCAATAGTTTTTCTCTATAGATCTGTTCGTCTCAGCTTTGAATTTTGAAACACAGGATTATACTACTTTCGATTTTAAATATAAGATTTGGTTTGTAACGTAAATTGCACTACAAATTAGATTTTATATTTAGACTTGTATGTCTCATGCACCCTATTCATGCTTGAACACTTCATGATTGGCCATGCTGCCGTAACCAAGTTCAAAGGGGGAAAAGGCTGAATAGAGGAAATCAGTGAAACTCAATTAGTAGCAATGGTGATGACTTGAAAAGAAAAGAAGTTGAAAACAAAAACAAAGGACGAGTAACAGGTCTTTATGTTTATACTTCACAACCGGGGGAAAAAAAAGTGTGAAAGCCTCCATCAAAAATCATGCAGCCACTGATTTCTCTGAAAAAATAAGATTGTACATGATGGAAAGAAAGAACGAAAGAAAGAAAGATCTTCTGTTCCCAGCAGCTTTTTGCTTTTGCTGCTAATGATAACAGGTGATTCTGATGAGTTCTTATTTACAATTACGTGAAACAGACTCAGAGTCTTACAAACTCATGTATCAGCATGAGCAATAGTACTTTGAGAAGTTACTTCTGCATCAACTACTATAGACTTTGAGCCTCCAAAAGTCACTTCAACAATGTCATTTTCTGAAGATGTGACTCCTAAAATATTGCTTTTGACGGCTCCATTTCCCTTACTATCATTTGATATGTTTTCTCCATGCACAATGTCGATCTGTGCCACGCCGCCCATTGTCTCAGTTCCATTAACTTCAGGAGGAACACCGTTTTCATCATCAAAGGTATGGGCCCAAACCCCACCTGTCAAGGTGTTAGGTTCTTCAATGGAGCCGTCAGCTGATTCTGTGTTCCTTCTGATTTGCGCTTCTGCTTCCTTCTCATTACTTTCAAAATCATTAATGACTGCTATGTTGGAATTCTCAACATTGCCTTGCCCTTTGTCATCTGACTGACTTTTGCTTGCTGTGTCATCAGTATTTCCAGAATTAGTATCCTTCTTAGGTTCTTCTATATGAACTTTTCCCAAGGTAGGGAACTGAATTTCATACAACCATGACGGTGAGCCTTTACGCCCCAAAGACACAGCCCAGTATTGTTCAACAGGCTTGGGTAGTCGGCCATAGTCGTCTGGTTTATATCTTGAATGGTTGATCTGGTATGTCAACCAAGCACAACCAGCCACAAGCAGCATCACCATCAATGCCTGCTTCACGTTGGCCCCTTTAGATCTCTGTTGCCTTCCCAGGTTCTGATATTCCATTTCTGCCAATGATGAAATAAGTCAAACTCTAAGGAAGAAGAAACCCCCAAGATATTTTTAATAGGAAAATTCTGGCCTTATGAAATTTAGAGATTAAAGAATTGGCAGCGCCGGCAAGACGCAGTAATAAATCCGACGTTATCCCCTGGGGAAGGAATTCGAGTTTTAGGAACTAGAAGCACCGAAGCCCATTTAGATTTTTCTTTCTGATGATTTAGCCCCTTTGTTTTACTTTATTTTTTGAATGAAACTGCGTAATCAGTTACTTCAAACACCAGGGTAGATAACTCTCGGTCGGCCTCCACGTAACTAGAGCAAAACAATGGACGCTGATTGCACAAAAAAAAAAAAAGGGTCTTTAGATCACCATTACAGTTCCCAGTAAGCCCCTTTAAATTTGAATGAATAGAAATCCGTGGTACGGAAAAGCCCAGTTCTTGAACTTTCCTTTCACCTGTGCTTCCCGATCATTCTAATTCCTATAAATCGACTAGACCCAGTAATCCATTTGTCACAGCAGGGAAACCGGAAACTTGTCACCGAAAGACCAAATGAGAAAATCGGATTGAATTGAACAGAAAAACTGAAACAAAAAGTCAAAAGGGGAGAAGAAAACAGAGAAATGGTTCTAGTCTAAGAAAAACAAGGTCGGTTTGCACAATGCTCTTCCTAGTTCCAAATTTATCCAAGAAAAATTAGTCATTAGCAACCATAGAAGAATCAAGAACTTCAACGCACACTAGAATTCAAGAAACAAGCATTACCACGGCATGGCCAAAAGAAAACCACCCAGAAATCAAACATACATAAAAAGCGAGGCGAATTGGAAACGAGGAAGCGACGGTCAAGAACTCTTAACGAGAAAGAAAACGCGATAAAGGTTACCTATTGCAAATGAAGAGCTTGATGATCTTGCTCTGAGGAGTTGTCTACTTGCTCTTTTTGTTCTTTGTGCTTTCCAAAAATTTTACAGAGGAGATCAAAATTAATAGTTTGGCACGCTGAGAGTCGTTGAGAGGACCCAGAGTGGCGGTTGCTTTTTGTGTGTCATCTCCAAAATACCCCCGCCTTCCTCGCCGAACCTTGCTGCTTACTCAAAGCGTGCGCAGGGTTAAGACTGACTAAGCATTGACTTCTCTGAGGGTAATTAGGGAAATCAAATCATGAAATGCCTTGGAGTCCCAAATCGCCTTATCCCTATTTTTCTTCTGCTTTTTAAATTCCCGAAATTAATGCCAAATTTTCTATGCGGTGATTGTATTTTCCCCAATTTTTTAATCATGATTAAGGTGAGATAGACTCATCAAATTGGGCTGGCGAAAATTAAACAACTAAAATATCACTGCAACCAAATTATTAGAAGTTTAGAGTATCATATCATCATTATTAATTAATTTTATAATAATTTGACAGACTCCCTTTGATTCGGATTTATCAGTTTGATAGTTAACAAAATAGTCAAATACAGGTGTGCAAGCAAATGATTCAATTTTATTAGTGTCCGTTCTGTTGTCTGATTTTGAATCAACCGGACCTTCTTGGATTTATCAGAATTAAAAACTGGGGACCTCCATTGAAAGTTCTGAATTTCATTTGAACTAAAATAATAATGACCCAAAAAATAATAACAATAATAATCAAGAAGATTGCGGAATCATTTGCTCTTGGTCAGCTGGTGTGATGTGGGGTTGAGAAGTTTAGAAATCCAAATTGGTTTTGTCTACGTGAATGAACGAGTAGTGAAAAGGAAGTGCAGGGAATTGTCAAATGTGAAATGTCAACGGTTACCTTGTTGTTGCTGCATACAAAATATATTCTCTCCCCTTCCCTCTCTCTTCTCTCGTCAGTCCGTCACTCTTGAACAAGATCTACTCATATTTTCAATTATTTATGCTTATTAATCAATTCGTGTATTTCAAATTAATTTGTCAAACCTTTGAAACTAGATGAATTTATCTTGCCTTCTAGCCATTGGGCTAAAATTGAGGTTGGGTCCATAAGAAGGTCCAAATCTCGGCCCGTAACCATACAATTCTCAAAACAAGGCCCAATTTAAATAGACGCTGGGTTATCTCTTCCGGATGTGATCTACGCCCACTCCCAGCGGAGCTCCTTTTTATAAGTAAAACTAAATGAATATAGTATACCCCCAAACAAAAAAAAAAAAAAGGATGAGTATAAACTCATGGGGTTGGGTTTAGTAAAAGAGATTAGTTTATCACAATGTAACAAACCAATATTCGAATTACTGGTAAGAGAAGTGTTCACATATAATGCCTGATAATATTTTAAACAGGGTTGTTTCTATTAGGAAGATAATGTGGGGCTGCGCTTGACAAAAAACTAAATGAATATATTAATCTGGAACAAGTGTGCCGTGGTATGCCACGTGTACGTTAAATTCTGAACTCCGGCAAAGTCGCATACAAGACGCAAAAATGTGGCAATCATTTCATAGATAAAGACGAAAATGTTGGATAATATGATAGATGTGGACAAGGCAGAGCGGGAGGGGGCTCCTCGTGGAGAGCCCTAAAACAAAAGGCAATGAATTATGAAGAGAGGAGTTGAATGAACGGAAAAGGATATGTGATTGGCACAGAAACAAAAAGTAAAGTAGGGAAAAGCAGAAGCACTAGATTGAAAAGGGGTTCAATAGTATGAATTGTGTGGAAAATAATTATATACTTTATATATAATTAGTAATATGGGGAGCCAAAGACAAGGACATGATGAAAGTTGGAGTACTACTTTATAAATCAGGACCGCCCTATACATATCCAAATATCTTCACGCAACCCTTTCCCGCTCCCATAATTCACTACAGTACCTATTCTTCCTCATTTGATTATTCTGAGAATAATAATGATAACTTTACTTAGTCGCTAAAAATAGTCAGTGAAATGAATGGGGGGTGACGAAGAAAAGAAGTGGTATTGAACAGTGTGACTGGCTGCGAGATATAGGGATACATTTGTCTTTTCATATCTCTTGTTTTTGCCAACAGGAACAGGGTGCCCCAATATAATACTAGTAACATGGGGCATTGTGTTAAAAGTGAAGCAAAGCATGCAAAAACACGAATTCTCGGGGAATGAAGGAATATGGGAAGGAAGATGAGAGGGCTAAGGAAACTCCACTGGTCAAAATCAGAGTTGCCACAAATACAAGTTTCTCGTAATATTTTAATTCCACTTTGTATTTCCGTACTTTCCTCTGGTAAGCAAACCACCAACAGTCTCGTGACCAGCGATACTTAATCCAAACCCAACCTTGAGCCTGTTTGGTTAAGCGGTGGGATCTCAAATAAGTCCGTTTAAATTCAAATAAGTGCTTATGAAGCATGGTTAGGGTGTTTGGATAATTTTTATAGAATCCCGATGAATCGTGATTTTAACCTCCCACCGCACTTTTAGAATGAGCAACAAAAGATAGCTTATGCGTTTAAAAAATCCCGATGAATATTCAGTAACTAAATTTTCTTTAATCTACCCCTCATTCTAATGGTAATTATTTTAATTTTTTTAAAAAAAAAAACATACAATATGAAACTGTTTTTCTTTTAATTTTATCTAAACAAAAATAAGATTACGGATGACATATGATTGAAACAACACAATCAAATATTTAGGTAATATTCTGATTCTAGGAGCATTGTTAAATTAAGAAAATAATGATGACAAATAATTTTTCAGCTTATTTTTATATTTATTATTGTTATTTTATCTAAATGATATCTCTCCATTTACTCTTCCACAAATCTCTCTTCAAATATTATCTCCACATATTTTGCCTACAATTTTTCAACCTAAACGGCTAAACCACTTCAAATAATAATAATTTTAAAATAAAAATAATATTTAAATATTCATGTCATTTATTAAATTATATTTAATAAAATTTATTATTAAATATAATAATTATGAAAATGTAAACAACTTTATTAACTTTATGTCCTTTTTAGTAATTATACACCCATAAATGATTTTAATGAATAAAAACCAAACATAATCACAATTCTTAAAATCACTTATAAAAAAAAAATTCAAACAGAAATCACGATTAACTAATATCACTTATAGCCAGTATCACTTATAAAATTTACGATTATCTAAAATTACAGTTGTTCACCGCTAATCCAAACGGGGACTTCGTCCCTACGAAATAGCATTTCAGTGACTGTATTGCGTATAACATTTTATTCCTAAAAAGAGAGGCTTATTTGGGTCTGGGGGAAGAGACTGCCTATAGGCCATAGGCTAGCCTCGGCCTCCCGGGTGATGCGGCGAATCGCGATGGATGGACACAGTCCTGAGCGTGCCACGTGTTCAGAACATGCCATTTAACTTGAAGAGGGGATGATTGTTTTTTTTTTAAAAAAAAACGATTTCTTTTACACGAAAATCATTTTATAGAGTAAATTTATATGATTTGAAATATATTTCTTCGCCTTATGCTTAATCAGTTCAATGTAGTGTGTATTATATTATTAAAAATATATATTTTTTGGAAACAAAGTTATTAAAAAAATTTATGTTATAATATTATTTTTATTTTATATTCAATTCATTTAACATAATTGCTTAAATAAAACATGAACTTGATATCTAAATTACCAGAACGAAATATGAACAGACATCTCATGTTCTTTCTTATGTCATCCGAGATTCCACTACAACATCCACTCTTCTGATATTTAATATAAGATCTAATTATTCTTCTGATCCTAAATATAAGAACTTTATATTTAGACCCGGAGAAGTAATATATTAATATTAGTCTTATATATAAGACTTATTTTAAATGTTTATCAATTTTTTTTAAATTAACTCCATTGATATTCCACTAATAATAATTAAGTAAGAGATGTAAAGAAAATTAAAAAAAATGTTTAGAGTGTTTCAGTAAAAACATACAATATTAACTAATATTTTTAATAAATTAAGTTTTATATTAAGTATTGGAAGAATTTACGGGCACTCTAACATGTCGTCCGTGTTCAGTTAGTCGATTGAAGATGTGAAGAAGTCAAATTAATTTATAATATGCACTATTTACTTCGCGTAGATGTAATTATTCCGTATTCAGTGTTATTACACTGCATAACTTTTCATCGAATTGCCATACCAACCCACTGCGCGGTAGTTAAAATAAAGAAAACGATAAAACAAACAAGGCGTCGATATTTTAACTCAAGTTATTTTTACCAATAAAATTTTTCTCCAATAACAAACTTTTCTATAATTTTCCGTTGAACCTTTTTTTTTTTTTTGCCAACAATTTTCCCTTTAACAGTTTAACTTACCCAAGGCTCCGTCCGCTATGGCTATGCAAGGACCAGTACCTTAGATCATGCAGAGCAACGACAATTCAAATGCCAGTACCGTCGAAGACATGTCTTGAACAAACTATTTCATTCTCAAAATGCAATAATTTGAGACATACGCTCCGTCATACACTGCTGCTACGCTTTTATTTTAAGGGATCGACGGATAATTAGTAAATTCTTATGCAAAACTTGATTAAAACCAATACACACAATAAAGTAAAATCTACTGTCCACATTAAAATTATCATGCATGCGCTATTCCTGAACTAAATTATTATTACTACAAAAAAAAAACAGATAAATTTTTCATAGTTAAGTAGATTGCCAAAATTCTGAGCTGGCGATCTTGCCTTGCCACAGCGGAAAACTGGAAATGGGCATTACCACGTCTGTCAGAATAGATCGTTGGCACCTGTCGCCGTCTTTTACATAAAGAATGGGCATGGATTAGCTTTGCTGAAAGTATGTATATAATGGACTCATAATTAATACTATCCCAAGTTTGAATATACTCTTCCAGTTATTAAGAACCTAATTCTTAAGTTAATTTTAGTTCTAAATATAATATCTATTTTTTATATTTATCAATTTTTTTTCAAATTACCTCTACGGATACTTCTTCAACCATAATAAAGTAAGTAAGAAAAGAAGTATATTAAGAAAAATGATTATGGGATTTTAGAAAAAAATATACTACCTCTAGTCCTTAATATAAGACCCCGTTTGACTTTTAGTTTTGTCCTAATTATAAACCCCAATCTATTTTGTCTCTCATATTTATGCATTTTTCCAAAATAGTCCTTCTAATGATGATAGTTTTAACCAATACACTTAATTAGCAAGGATATTTTAGGAATGACAATACTTATTTATTACAAATAACTAACTTAACCTACTTCTTTAATCTCCTCAAATTAGTCAACTAAGTCTTATAATTAGGACCGGAGGTAGTATCATGTTTCTTATAATTAACTAACTTATCTAATTTTTTTAATTTTAGCAAGTTAGTTAAATAGGTCTTATATTAAAAATCAAAAGAGTAGTACTCCTCCGGTCCTTATTATAAGACCCAATTTGACTTTTTATTTGGTCCTAATTATAAGACCCTAATCCATTTTGTCTCTTATATTTATGCATTTTTTCCAAGATAATCCTTCTAATAATGATAGTTTTAGCCAATATACTTAATTAGCAAGGATATTTCAGGAATGACAACACTTATTTATTATGAATAACCAACTTAACTTACTTCCTTAATCTCCCCAAATAAGTCAATTGGGTCTTATAATTAGGACCGGAGGAGTATTTATTTTTACATTATATGAAAGGCATCAATTTTTGTTTTGTTTTTTGGGTCGGGGGTTTCAAAGTTAACGCATCGGAGCTAGCGGTATGGATTAGCTTAGAGTGCACGGCAATGGGGAAATGATAATTTAAATTTGACCCCGAATTTCTCTTCAATTATACATTCAACTCTAGTGTGCAGAGGGAGATATCCGTCCGCAAAGTGTGTGCGGACTGCAGGGGTCGATGTCGTTTATTATGTAACTAGTTACTGTGCTTATCACTTCAATGACGCGTCCTGACGCTATCATTAGATCTCTACTATCCAGATTTTATATGAGTAGTCCAAATTTATTTATTTTATTTGTTTAAAATAATTATTTTAATACGTATAAAATATAAAATAAAAATAATCTCTTAATTATTATTTTTTAAAATAAATTTGTTATTTAAAAATAGTTAATTAAAAATTTTAAATCTGAACCATTTAAATAAAATTTCAATAATCATGGACTGGGAGTGTTTATTAAGGAGATAAACAGTGAAACTAATCCTCTTTTGTTATCGTAAACCAGGCTCTCACCTGTTTCCTTGCCACTTCATCGTAAAACACACGCCGTTTGAGCTGCTCGCACTGTTCTACTCACAATCTCCATGAAAGGCACAAACGGGAAACAGCATCCCCCACAATTTAGCATTTAATTTAATTTAAAAACATTATCTATATCGTTCTTGTCCACACATGCATGCCTCCCTTTCCATCTCGTGCCTATCCCTCTCAAATCTCATTAGTTCAACAACACGCGCACGCGCTCGTGGGATTTCACTCGCTCTCCAATCATGCACTACGTCCCTTTAAATACCTGTTCTCGCTCGCTCTTTCTCGTTCCATATCCAATCTCAATTTCTTATTCGCTTTCTCTCTGTATCTCCCTCCCTCTCGATCGAAATGGAAACTGAGACTAAAGCTCCGGTGGTGGCCAAGAAGGTTTGGAGCATTGTACGGTTGGTTCTGGTCATGTTGAGAAAAGGTATAGCCAAGAGCAAAGTCGCGCTTGAGCTCCATTTGCTTCTCAAACGCGGGAAGCTTGCCGGAAAGGCCTTAGCCGACAGCACTCTGATGCTCCACCACCACTTCGCCGCCGCCTTTGCCTCTCGATCTAACAACCACCACCATTCCTTCATCCCTCCGCGTGAATACGAGTTCAGCTGCAGCAACAGCCCCGCCTACCCCTTCGCCTCCGCCATCAAGCGCAAGCACAAGCTGGGTAAGTCGTACCAATACGACGACGTGTGCACCGTGAATGCCTTCCAGAAAGTGCTGGAGATGCTGAACAATGAGAATTCCAAGTTCGTGGAAGCCTCGCCTCTGGTGACATTGCCAGGCTTCGGGAAAAGCCCTATCGGGAAGCAACTGAGAGTGACCGACTCGCCGTTTCCCTTGAAGGACGACGGAGATAGCCAGGTGGACTTGGCGGCAGAAGAATTCATTAAGAAGTTCTACAAAGATCTAAATTTGCAGAAGACAATGGCCGTTCTTGATTCGCCCTGCCCTAAATATTTGTGGGATAGGTGAATTACGACGTCGCTCATATCTCTGTGTATTTGATCCCACGCGTATATACCTCAAAACTGGCTACTACATCTCACGAATCAATACCTTCTATTTTTCGCTGCTGTAACGTCGCATAATGAGCAGTTTTTTTCTGGGTTGGTTCTTGAAGTGAGAGCTAGCTAGCTAGCTAGCCAGTGCGTGCTCGGACGTACTTGGGGTTTACTTCTGATTTGTCATCACAATGTGGTCTTGGTGTTTTTTTTTCCCTCCCTCTTTTTAATTAAAAGTTGACAGCTCCCTCTGTTTTTGGGTTGTGAAAACCCTTTTGTCACAATGTTGTGATCTGTTCATGGTGATAATAAAAGGAATTACAGAATGAAGGGGATGATGGAATTGTGCCTGTCTTTCTGCGGAAGATTAGGAATAATAATTTCTCTTCTTTCAATAAAGGACGTCGTCGTACCTACCGGGAGACTTTGGATGATAAAGGAGGGACTAAAGCAAGAGCGTTGTGTTTTGTCGTTGGTAGAGGAAGAAATTCAAGGTGCAGCTATCTTTTCTAAGTATTGGTGAGTTGGATCAGTTTGGCTTTATTAGCCACCTTTTATTATGTCTCTCTTATCTCTTGGCCACTCACTATTATAATGGTGGAACCACTGGTTATGGTTCGTAATACATATTGATACTGTACGTACTCGTCGCTTATTCCAAAATCACTTGAATTTTTAGTCTTTTTAAGTCTAATAATCAATGATTAATTATATGATATAGTATGGAGCATATAGCATATATAGCTAGCTTGAGTATATGTCCAATATCCATACAATCCTTTTGCTCTGGCGTTTCAGTACTGTACTGTAATTGTTTTAAGTTGTGGACAATAAATTGTTTAATAAGATGTACGAAAGATATAAGAAATCATAGTTTTCTTTTCAAATTGGGTGTTTAGGATAATTAATTAAAAATTATTCAATTCATTAAGGGTTTTGAAGTTTATATTTCTTTGTGCATGTAATTTTATTAATGCTATCACTACTCCAAAAACCACCATATATATAATATATATCCACTCATGGACGCATATATATATATATATAGAGAGAGAGAGAGAGCATATACTAAAAACATTGTATGCTTCAATTCAAGCATATCTTTTGGCAGTCACTATGAAATACACACAGATGAAATACATAGCCCAAATTAATAGACTTGGTGTATATATAGCAGGCTTCGGGGCAGGATGTTATAACCACTCTGATGCTTAGTTTAAATCATTTGTAACACATTTTTATATATCAACAAATACATTTTATTAGTTCAAGTAATTTATAAATATAGGATTAGAGGGAGTAATGTGCATTTTGTCATCATTCTCCTCCAAACTGGCCAAAACAACTAAAAGTACAGATGCCTTTTTAGTTTTCCTAATTTGTTTCGATCAGCTTGTCTTTTTCGTTCAACTAATTCCATTGGGCATTCACTAATAAAGCACAAAGAGTCACTATAACTCTCATTTAAATTTCAAGGACACGCGGCGTCCAGCTCCGGACATTTTAGAGATGATGAAGGCTAATAAGTAATAGTAACAGAGCAGAAAGCAGAAATCTTGGTGTTTTATTCGAATAAGTTTTTGTAAGTTGTAATTCATTTATTGGTCTGTGTTTCACACTTGCTGTTTTATCGCGTGTATTAATTAATTAATTAATTAATTAATTAATCACAGTAATGTAATCAATAATAAAGTATTCATGTTTTCACTAATAATTAGACTGAGATCTTAAGATTCAATAAACTGACATTAGGGGGAATGTACGTGTGGACTCTTTTTCTTACTTGTTGATAGGGACCATGATTAAATTAATTGCTTAATTAATATCATGTGGCCATCAATTAACGTCTATGCAATTTTTCATAGTACACTACTATTTGATGTGGAAACTTATTGATAAAATAATCCAGGTCATATTATCGATTGGTGCAATCATTGAGAATGTGAATAGATCAATGGCCAATAGATGGGCAACGCTTGTAACTAAAAAAATTGCAATTATAGCAATTAACCCAGTTAAAATATAATTGAAGGAGGACCTGGGGGTTTCACAAGAACCAAAATTATTGGATTGGCTAAAGTAATGAAGAAAATAAACATCAACGGGTTGTCCCTCTAATCAATGACATCACAGCGAAGAATGAAGAGGCCGCCATTATATCCACTATAGCAATGGTCAAAGAATCGGCAAAATCAAATGCCCCAACCACACTTTCCTCCATTGATAATCTTGCGAGCGAGATAATAGTTAAAATTCAAATTAACGCGTTAAGTAATTGAAGTCATAAATATCATTGTCATCAATATAAAATGTAAAATTTATGAGAAGTCATCGTACGGTTCATAAGTGCTATATTACCTCCGGTCATAATTACAAGACCTTGTTTGTAGTCTACAATTATGACCGGAGGTAATATATCACTTATGAACCGTATGATGATTATACAAACGAGATATTATAAATATGACCCGAGGTAATATACACGCAAACACTAACTAGACATTTGTCAACAGTATAAGTTATAAGATGAAGTGTTTAGATACATATATATATTACCAATTTCTTTGTGAAATGTATAAATACCATTGTTTTAATGTTTCATGTAACATTGAACCAATATTAAAATTAGAAAGTTTAAGTTTTTCAACACCTGTTCCAATTTTTTTTGCCGGACCAAGCTTCTAATTTCTCATCAAAACAACGCTAGATTCATGAAATGTATGGATAACTATTGAAAATAAAAATAAAATGGTTGTCCCGAACCCAAGAAAATGTATTGTTTATCAATATAATGATGTGATTTCTTTGCAATTAATTATATATTTTATATAAGGATAATGTATAAATTTGTTCCAGAAATATTATTATTGGGCATCTGGGAAAAAAAATTTGTGTGCAAATTTATTTTAAAAGTTTTGAAATTTAGTAACATCAAATTAACATACTTTTTTAACAGTAACGAGCAATATTATTAATATCTCTGAGTAAAGAACTTTCCAGAAAAATTTAATTTTATGCCCTCTCCTCTCCTTCACCTTTGTTAATACTTTTGTCAATGCTTTGGCCCTTTCTATAAACTTTGCTTTTATATATGTTCGTGGCTCTTATTTTATTAAGCTTTATTTATTCAACCAATATCCATACTTTACGAGCCACACGCCATGAGACGTGTCTTCTATGATCGTGGGACATATATAGACCATTCGATGGGAGACGCTAGCAGACATTGATAGCCTGATTTACTGAGAGAGAAAAAAAAAAACAGACATTTATGATCTGATCTTGACACTTGTCTAGAATGCCATCGCATTGATAATTAATTAATCAAGCTGGACAAAAATTGACACTAGCAGTGATAATTAGTTAATCTTAACTATAACCCAATGTGATGAAATTAGCACATAGTATTTCAATTTAAGAGTTATGAAATCCCTACACCGATATATCAAACAGACGGATTTTATTAGATTATAGAGCAAAATACTCTAATATTTCTTATATTTTTTCTTAATTACACAGACATTCCCCTTCATTTTGACACTTAAGTCTAAATTATTAATTCTGTTAAGAATGTTTTAAAAAGATACTTTTTAATTAAAATTTATAGTAACATATTTTTTTACTTACTAATTTACCCTTCATAATACTAAATCTCTTAATTTTAGCTTAAAAAAGTTTTGAAGAATTGAAAGTTTTTTCTTTCCCTTAATTTTATTTTTTTAAATAGTTATTTGTTTAATGTTTTCATCATATTGACATAGAAAATTAAGTAATTTAGTTAATGTAGACAAAAAAAAACTTGAACGAAAATTTGATTAATTCTTTAAGTAAATATATTGACTAAAAAGGTTATAAATATTTCGAACAAAATTTTTATTTAAAAATTTTAAATTATAAGTTTAAATGATTTCTATAATCTTTCTAACTTAGATAATTTATATTATATGATGAAATAAATATGTATTTATTTTATTTTCTAACCATTTAAAAAAACTAAATAAATAAGTTTCATTTATATGATGAAGATTAAAATTATAAAAGTTTATAATATAATAAAAATTAATAAATTTTATTACATTTCAAAAGTTTTGAAAATACATGTATTAAAATTATTTTTTGTTGTTCAAAAATTTTTTTTGACAAGTATAAATGTTTAAATAACTTTTATGTTAAAAGGGGGTATTTTGTTTTTTGTTTAAGTCAAACTTAACAGTGAGATGGATGAAAATGAAACTTTAAATATTAACATACATTTTAATTTCAATGAAGGTCTATATATATTTTCAAAATAGAGGAGGGGTTTCTGTAATTTAGATAAAATATAAAGGTGGTTGGTGTATTTTACTTTAGATTATATAATTGATTCACATCAATAATTCATTGTTAGTTAGTTATGAGCATGGATCAATTATATAATACTACACCTGATCCTAAATACTCTTTCGGATTTTAAATAAAAGACTCATTTTATAGTGTAATCTACACTATAAAATTAGTTTTACATTTAGCATTGAAAGAGTACGAGAGCTAGTTATAGATTTAATTTGGTCATAACTATAAGGCATCAATATACTTTTCGCCCATATTTATTCACTTTTCTCCCAAAATAGTTGCTATAATAAATACACATGTTAAAGAGTTTTTATCTTCGTGCATATGATTAAAAAATATTTTAGAAAAAATAACATTTATTTATTATAGATAATTAACCTAATTAATTTTTTTAAATATTTACAAATTAATTATTTAACTTTTATATTAAAAACCAGAGATTACGGCATAATTGTCATGAAATGAGCACAAACTATTCAGAATACTTGTAGTTAAAAAAAAAAAGAGAGAAGAAACTAAATAAAGCCATGAAAAGATTAAGCTTTTGCTTTATAGAATGGTAAATCTTGCAGGGGAAAGGGAGGGACTTGCAGCGCAATCTGAGCAAACTTTTAAGTCCCACGCGGGGATAAGGAAGCTTTATACATGTAGCGTGGAGCTGCGTCTATTGATAACACACATATGCATATGTGGGGGCAAAGCTTTTACCAAGTGAACGGGTTGGGTTTTGTCAATTTACCCCCTAAAAGAAAGAGGAATGAATGGCACTTGAACTATTTTGTCAAACACTACCTAAAGCAAAGGTGCTTTAATTTTGCCCCTTCGAGCTTCAATAAAAGACCCATTTATAAAAGTCATACCCTCGTTGCTTCGTTAGGTGTGTAATGGGTAATAGTGGGATACGTATTAAAGGGACTTTTTTAGGCGAGGCTCAGCGTTTCAACGTTTGAGTTTATTATTTAAATATTACTCCCGCCCGTAATATTTATAAACTTCAAATTTAGAAAAAAATATAATCTATTTTATAAGTTTTAATTTTAAGTTTGTTTTAATATTTAATATATTTTTTAATATTACTCTTAATTATTTCTTTCTTATCATATTTTTCTACACATTTTCTTTCATTTTTTATTTATTATTAGGATATATTTGAAAATAAAAATATATTTTTAACATGTTTATTGTTTTTAACTAATTTTAATAATTATTTATTATTTATAGATTAGTTATTTAAAACTTATAATAAACACAAGAGGAGTACTGTATTATGAGGATGTCCGGTTGTGGTACGTACACACACATTGAAAGCCCTTTACTTTACACGCACTTTGTGTGTTATATACGTACTATATTTTTATATATAATAGTAAGGAAGAAGTCCTGAGAAACAAGTATTTATCTGTAAGTTCTAATAATAGGCAAGGAGTTATTATTTATTATTATAAAATTTGTTATTGCAGACTGCTCCATTATTCATGAGGTTTTATGACAATTATGTTATTTACTTAGAACTTTATAGTAATTTTCTCTTATAATAACACTTGCTTGGAGCAGTATATATAACGTCAAATTAAACAACAGTGTTCATGCATGGATGAGTTTTGCTTTTCTACGATATGATATTTTTTGTCCTAAATATAGAAATTAGTAACTAATTTATATAGAGTTAAAAATTAATTAAGTTTAATTTGAAGGGGCTAACCTTCTCCATTATGTAGGGAATTGGGAATGAAAGATCATAAGACTAATATTATAGATGGATTAAAGAAAAGGGCATAAAGCAGGAAATACCAAGGGGCCCCTATCAAATTAAAAAACAAAAAAACAAAAAGCACGAATTATTCTTTTATGTATTATCACTGCCACTCGTTAATCTTACCGTTCGGCCGGTACTAACTTTTCCCTGTGATTCACTAGAAGCAGGACTTTCGGTTGGTACTCTTTTTAAAAAAATAATTTATTGCACCTGTGCTTCTAAATTTTCGCGTATTCTTTTTAATAGTCTCCATTCTCAATTTAAAAGAGCAAAATAGGGGGAAAACTTTATGTTTTCAATGTTTTTTATGTTACATGGAAATTAAATCACATTCCACTTACCTACGAGAACGTTACGAATGTATATTAATTAAGAAGATAAAAGCATAAAAATTTCTATGAGACATAGTTGTTTGTACTTTACGCTCATTTTTATTTCTTTTATTTAATGTATCTTTAACCACATGGGACCTTACAAAAAATTAAAAAACAGTGACACTATAGACCTATAGTGCTTCTTTTCTATCTGTTTGCCATTACTAATATCGCGCGTTTATAATCTCAGGCCCATTAAAGGGGCCTTTGATGAATGATTAATGTGGTTACGTGAAGCCACTAATCTGCGTGATTGTGAGCCTCATCCGGCCCAATCTGTATAGCATGTACTTCTCCGGTCCTTATTATAAGACTCAATTTGACTTTTTATTTGGTCCTAATTATAAGACCCAATCCATTTTTTCTCTTATATTTATACATTTTTTTCCAAGATAATCCTCCTAATAATGATAGTTTAGCCATATACTTAATTAGCAAGGATATTTTAGGAATAACAACACTTATTTATTATAATAACCACCTTAACTTACTTTAATCTCCTCAAATAAGTCAATTGGGCCTTATAATTAGGACCGGAGGAGTAATAATTAGTTTGTCTCCCTGTTGTGGCCTGGGGTTTTCCCTTCTATGTGATGGACTTTTTTTTTTTGGGTACATGTGATGGACTTTTAATCTTCCTATGTGAAAAAAATGGACCTTTTAATCTTCTGAAACTTTTTGGGCTACATGAGCTCGTATGCTTGAGGCCCAATCTAGTTTGCATATTTTTACTCCTCAGCCCAACATTGATATTACTTAGAGAGCCATTTAAGTACCATACTCTTGGCTTGGATTGAGTCGGAACACCTGTCCAAAATTTTACTATAAAAATAAATAAATTGCCTTTACTAACGGGTTGAGTCTCGAGAAAATAATTAATCTTTCGCAACATAACAAAAGGTTGAAATCTTTGCAAAAATAGTTTTTAGCATAATAAAAATTGCCTTTATATAAAAAGCAGCATGCTCTTTTAACATTTTCAGCTAATAGAGATATTAGGGATTAAAAAACAAAACATTCGAAGCCTGCGTTTTAGTGGCCGGATGGTTAGAAAGTGGGTAATAAGACACTCTCACGCTCTAGGTCGTGGATTCGAAACGCAACGCCTGTTGCGGGTAAATTTTGGTATTAGTCGGTTACCCAAAAGGTGTTAGATACCAGGGCTTTAAGCCAAAAAAAAAAAAAAAAGACCTTTGGTTGCGTAGCTGAGACTTTGTAGAGGGAATTTTCTTGCATACATTGATTAAACACATTATTTTCTTTCTTTAATAAAAAGTATGCCTTTTCAAAATTTAATGATTTTTTTTATCAAATTGAAATTAAGTTCTTTCAGCTCAAAAAGGAAAGAAAAACCAAAAAGTGAATGAAATCCCCCACTTTTTTTTTTAAAAAAAATTGAAATTAAGTTGACATTAATAATAATTGCGTAAACAAGAATAGGACGCGTGAACTGAAGAAGCCCCTTGTTTCTTCAATATTACTCGAAGCTGAATTGCTTGCCGAAACCAACCTCCTCGGAACATAACTAACGATCACGTCCGTTGGATTGCGTGAAGTTGTAATTCAGTTCCTGAATCCTTTGATGTCCACCATTCCTCAAAAGAAACGGTTTTATTTCTCGCGCGAGTCTTCCTTCATAATCAAATATCACTGCGTTTTTCAACTCCCTGTTCCAGCTCTCTGAATCTAAGGGACGTCGTACCCTTTCCTCCGCTTCTTCATGGAGGCTTCATTCCTCGATCTCTAAGGAAGCACCCCAAAACCCTTTCAGATCCCAATCGACTTTTATCTGAGATGGCTTCCTGGCTCAAGGCCGCTGAAGGTATCGATCTATCTCACTGCTTCTGTAATCTGCATTCTGAATTTCCCCTAATTTGACACTTTCTATTATTATTGTGTCATTGCTTTAACTGGCAAACCCTTTGGCGTCCCGTAGGGTTCGAGATTGATCTGGTTTCTTTTACAAATTTTGTGAGTTATGGTTAAGTGATTTTTCGGCTTACTGCCTTTACATGCTCTGATTCGATGGTTAAAGCATTTAGTCAAATTCTACTGGATTGTTTTGGATGTTGAACATTGGCTTGAACTATAATCATAAAAGCTTCATAAAGCAGCTCCTTGCTGATTTGTGGGTGTTTTTAGCTGGACAAAGATGTATGCTTCCGAGGAGAATGCAAATTACCTTTACATTTTGCCCAAACTTATGAATGCTGTTAAAGCTGCCCAACAGAAAGGGAATAGCTCCCCCGGATCAATTGCATTGCCAGTAAATTTTCTACAACTTCGCGTGGAGCATAATTTCACTTTAAATACTTCTTTACATGGTCACTTCTTTTTTTTTTTTTTAAATCACGCAGGAGAAATTTGTACCAAGTCTAATTGATCTTTTGCCTCCTTTGTATAGTTTTTGGTTCTATCACCTACTGCAGTATTAAATGGAAAGTTTCTCTTTTCCGGCCCCCACATTTGGGTCTGTGCATGCATGCAGCTCATATTGAAATAAATTCTTACTTACGACACTCTTTTTCTATTTATGCGAACAGATTTATTTGAAGTTGTAGATCGAAGGGCCAAACTAGTTGTCAGTGAATTAGCAGATGAGCAGTCTGATTCTAAGTCGCCGGGTGTAGGTATATAACAATCATTATGCACTGATGTTTGAATAGTGACTGCTTGACCTGAACTTAATCCTGGGTTTAATGCTACAATTTTGTATTGTTCATTTACTAGGAAGATTAAATCTGACACATCTGACGCTTATAAATTTATTATAAGCTAATTTTTATTGCTAGAATGGCAATTTTGCTGTCACCTTGACTCACCATGATTAAAATTTACTGGATTGATGTGCTAAGATGCGTATCCAAGTGTAACTGTTATCTGCAAGAGAAAATAACAATACAAAGCTCAGTTTTCTAGAATGACTCCATATTTTACAATTCCAGATGCACAAGTGCTAACATTTTTTTGAACCTTTCTGACAATTAGCTTCTAGCGGGCAAGGATCTCAAGGCAATAGGTCAAAATCAAAATCTAAGGTTTGCCTTCGAAGTTTATCCTTAAGTAGTGTTCTTATAATATGAACCTTGATCATATCTTCTTGAACTATTTTTGCAGGCTCAAAAGGGACAAGCTGTTCCTTCTCCTGTAAGTAGTGACACTGCAAAGGAGTCAGGTGGCATACAAGAAGCCCCAGTAAATGTAACTTCTCCAAGTAATAAGTTCGATTCAACAAAGGTTCAAAAGGGACAATCTATCTCGTCTCCTATAATAAATGATATTACAAAAGAGCAAGTTGGCACACCAGCAGAACCATTAGAGGTTACTACTCTGAGTGATAACGTTGATCTTAATCTTGTAGCTGAGAATGATGGGAGTGCTTCTATGTCTACAAGCCAAGCTGATAAGGAGCAGCAACCTACTGAAGCAATGCCACCCTTGTCAGGCATTCCATCACCAGAAGAGATAACTAATGATGTGAATAAGCCTGAAATGGACAATGTGGAGGTCTTAGTAAATGATAATAATGCTGAACCTTCCACTATTCCTTCACCAATTTCTACAGACGGCCAGCTTTCCAAAGAGAATGCTTCAGATATCCATGATGGGCCCTCCTCTCCATCTAACAAAGGAATTGAAGGCCCCAGTGAAAATCAATCCACTGATACTGGCCTAACTAGGGAACCTGGAAATTTGGATGCTAATTTCAAAAAGGCTCAAGAGAGATCTGAATCTCTGACCTCTGACACTGCTTCTAATGGTGATGTTGTTCGTAAAGATGCTGGTTTAAAAGTTGAATCTATTGATGATGGAAAGAGCCAAGACGATCATAAAACTGATAATTCAAAGAAAGTACAAGATCAACTTGATGAGGTGTCATATTTATTATAAGAGAGAAGCTTATAAATTATTAATTGGAATGCATGTCTTCTATTGAATTTCTTCTGACTAGTTTTTAAGTTGGTCTCATAGGCTCAAGGACTGCTTAAAACAGCTAAATCTACTGGCCAATCTAAAGAGGCAAGATTAGCTCGGGTAAGAATGATGTCAACTAACATGTCTGTCATCCAACGCCTTCCTAAGTGGGAGAGGCATGATTACAGAGGCATATCTTGCAGATTGATCATGGGATCTTAGCCATAATTTTCTTCTTAAGATGTTTAGTTTATTTTCTTATTGTTCTTCAGGTTTGTGCTGGACTATCATCACGACTTCAAGAATACAAAGCAGAAAATGCGCAGCTGGAGGAACTTCTTAGTGCAGAGGTGAAGCTACATTACTATTTGTTGTTTAAAGGACTAGTGTTATCATGCTTCTCCATTAGAGAATATCTAATGGTTTTAATACTAAATTAATGCTTACAGAGAGAGTTGAGTAAATCTTGTGAGGCTCGAATAAAAGAGCTGCAGAAAGATTTGTCTGAATGCAAAAGGGAAGTATCAAGAGTAGAATCAAATATGTCTGAGGCCTTGGCAGCAAAGAATGCTGAAATCGAGACTCTTGTCGGTTCTATGGATGCTGTCAAAAGACAGGCTGCATTATCAGAGGGAAATCTTGCTTCTCTGCAGGTTCTTCATAGTTATATTGAAGTGTATTTTGCTTATCTTTTTTCTGCGGCTACTGTCTCAACCTGATCTATATGTCCTGCATTATTTACTTTAGTCCCTGCAAAAGTTTTCTCCTTCTTCTTCATTGAACATATTGGGTCACTCAAGCATTGGCATCTGTGAGTTTGGCTGAGAATTTCATGTGGTCATTGTATTCCTTGAAGTTTAGATGGGCTCCTTTTCCATTTTATCAGTTCTATTTGGCTAACCACCATTTTTTTATATACAAAAGAGTTTTAGCCATTTAATTTACATTACCTACTGTGTAGTTTTCAAAAGATATACCTTGCTAGAAATGCAAAATAAAATAGCTGGTTTGCATACAGAAGAGATTGCCCAATAGTGCCTACCGGAGCATGAGATGACGTGCTGTATTTATCATAGGATAATGGCAGAGCTGCGTTTATAAAATTGCTCTTTCTGTGTCAGTGTAGTCTTTTTTCAAATATATCATTTAACTGCTACCTGCGAGTCTTTTTGTGGTAAACAAAAATAATCAGCTAATATACTACAGTGACCGAGTAGCATGTTGACTTGCCTATATCATATTTTCTCCATGATTTTGGTCTTCCATTTATTCTGTGCTTAATCACATTTAATCAGGCAAGCATGGAGTCTATGATGAGAAGTCGAGAACTTACGGAGACAAGAATGATGCAGGTAAGTAAAATATTTGCTACATGTAAGATTACCTTAATTATTCTGACGTTTATGATTTTTTAAAATGAACTTTTGTGTTATGAAATTTTTATTCTCATAGGCTTTAAGAGAGGAGCTAGCATCTGCTGAACGAAGAGCAGAAGAGGAGCGTGCTGCTCATAATGCTACCAAAATGGTCGGTAGATAGAGTACTTAATTCTTGTTGCACTTTATCTTGTACCTTTCTTATTTTGTGATTGATGGGACAGTCTGCCATGGAGAGAGAAGTAGAATTGGAGCACAGAGCTGTTGAGGCGTCTACAGCCCTTGCAAGGATACAGGTAACTTGACTACTTATCGTGCTATGCAGGTTCTATTAAAGTAAATGTATTTATCCTTCTGTTAATAAGCTGGGTATATTTATGTTCCCCCTGATAAGCTCTGGGAATTATAGAACCAATTCTGACATCAAGGCTTACCATATGCATTGATTAATTGATTGCTTCTCATTTCAGAGAATAGCGGATGAGAGAACAGCGAAGGCCACAGAACTGGAGCAGAAGGTGGCACTTCTTGAGGTACATAGGGAACAGTTAGTTAGTGATTTTTTTTTTTAAATAAAGGAAAGGCTAAGGCTGATTGTTAATTCTGAAATAAAGATCTAGTAAATCAATTTTTGAGTCTTCTGTTACTAGGTTGAGTGTGCATCTTTAAATCAAGAACTACAAGATATGGAAGCACGTGTTCGCCGTGAACAAAAAAAGTCACCAGAAGAAACAAATCAAGTAATTCAGGTATTACTTAGGCATCTCTTCATCAATTAATTTTTCTTGCTGTAGGTTTCTGTACACTGTAGTCTTCTAATGAACTAATTATTATAATAGACATGTTTAAAGAGCTGACACCCTATATACTTTGTGGCCTAACCTTTATACAAACAACACGTAGTATGATATAATTATGCATGGACCCCATATTAAAGGGTGATTACATTATACTTGTGCAAATTTCCAAGCATTAGATATATTTTTCCGGCCAGCAAAAAAGCAAAAAAGCATGTATTTGCCCATGTTAGTACTTCAGTAATTATACTTTATGCTGCTACTTTGGCATGCATACTCAATGGATATTGTGTATCATATGGAAGGAAGTGTAGACTGGGAGCCTGAAATCATCAACTACTTGCAACTATCCTGCTGTATAAAATTTAAATGTAAATTTCATACATTTAGATTCAGGTAATAATGACTTTAATACATTCAGATTCAGGCATGGCAAGAAGAAGTGGAGCGTGCACGCCAGAGCCAGAGAGATGCTGAAAACAAGCTTTCTTCTTTGGAGGCAAATAACTTCTAATTCTGTGCAATTATTTTTATGAGATAATAATTTTCCATCTTTAGTTTCAAAATTTGCTTACTAATATTCATTATTTCTGACTTCAGGCTGAGTTGCAAAAAATGAGAGTTGAAATGGCTGCCATGAAGAGGGATGCTGAGCATTACTCTCGCCAGGTAGTTGCCTTTGATATTTCTTAGTTTATTTACAAGTTAACTCTTCTTGTCGAACATGTGTAAGTACACAAAGCAAGGGCCCTGGCTTTTTGAAATTTCATAGCTTCCCACGTTAAATTTTGTTTATTCAGTTCATGAGCAAGGCTGTCAAATTGTAAATTGAAAAGCTTTTATTTGAATCGTGAATCATAAATCTGTTGGATAGTAAAATTCCTAATAGCTGTGTTATATTCTTAGACATCTGTTTTTGTCACTTATGGATCTTTCTCAAGGTTAAATTAATATACTTTTGTCCTAGATTTAAGAATAAAAGTCCATACTACCTCATATACTTCTGTGTGTGAACAAATGGCATCAAATGGAGTTGGTTTTTTGAGGTTATTTTAAAAGTACGTTCCTCTTTTAACCTTGGATCTGTTTGACCCGTTAAAGGTTCTGGCGGGAGTTGTGTAGCCTATAATGTTTTTGTTAATTCAAATTTTTGAACGTTCTCCATTAAATTTTTCAAGTAAAAACAAAAAAAATTTATGAAAACAAACTGTGACCTTGAACCTTCCAAAATAGCCTGGTTCATTTGTGGACGCTGGAATTCTCCATGATGTCTATTTTCTTAGATTGCATGAAGAGAGACACAGAACCATGTTTCTAAAATCAGCAGGACTCAGACTTGATTGCACAGCTGCATTAGTGGTGGACTCAAATGTCAAAGTAAAGAACATCATATTCTTTTGATTTCATCAATTAAGAGCTATTATTATTATTTTTCGTTACATGAAAAAATACTTTCAAACTTACTTCTCAACATGGTATTATACTATGTTAATTTTGGCTGAAGTATACTAATCATTTAAATGGTTTTTACTTGAAGATATAATGGACTTGACATTTGAAAATTTAATGGTTGATAATTGGATAGTCAGGATTAATTGACGTAGCAGACATAAATCCACTTGATTGATTGTGAAAAGGTTCCTTTGAGTTTTCTGTAAGTAGGCAATCACATGCATCCAGGTATTTCCATTATCATGCTAAATATGTTATATCAAGTGGATGTTACGATGGCTGTAAAATTTCTAATAGAGGTGTAGCTGTCTATAAGACTGTAAGTCCATAACCACCATTGGAGGAGTAGTAAACTAGTAATTAATAATTTCACTTCAAATGTGATCTTGCTTTTCATTTATAGTTTTCGACACATATTCAAGTTGGAACTAAATATGCCTCTCTAAGATGTTTTAATGTCATGATGAAGTTTGGAACGCTGGTTGTGCTGATTGTAGTTATATTACATTCTCAGGAGCATATGGAGCTCGAGAAACGCTATCGTGAACTAACTGATCTTTTGGTAATTCATTGCTCAATTTCATTTGTTGCTTGTGATGTTCGATTTTTTTGTGTGTCATAGAAATGCTTCTTGTTTTGCATACCCAGTACTATAAGCAAACACAGTTAGAAACCATGGCCAGTGAAAAAGCTGCCACAGAATTTCAGCTAGAGAAGGAAATAAAGCGTCTTCAAGAAGCACAGGTATGTGTTTAGGTGCTTTTGGCTGCATGATCAGTGTTTTGGTCCACACAAGTTGAAGTCATTGTCATTTCGACAGGTAGAGGCTGAAAGAAGTCGGGTTTCCCGACGAGCATCTTCATCTTGGGAGGAAGAAACTGAAATAAAATCTCTTGAGTATGTTTCCTCTTTAGTTTATATTAGCATGTTTCTTGTTTTCTGTAAGATATTTTATGAAGGAAATTACTGAGAACTCTACCTTAAATGATTTTGTGCGTGCTGATTGGGATATGCATGTTCCTACCAGCCTCCATTGCCGAACTTAGGTCCTCCTTATTTGTAAAGGAACGAGAAACTATAATGCTTTAATCTGTTTAATTAATCACTTGTTTGCATCTAAATATGAAATCTAGTCCGTTTCTGGGATTCCAGTTTGTTTTTTATTGTGCATGCTAAGGTAATAAATGCATTTTCTTCATTGCAATTCAAAATTAATTCACTCTTTTGATTGGTTATGCTTGCTGGAGTGAATTTCCAATTGGGGAATCAGGAAAGTGATTTTATAGAATTAATTAATATCGCAGGCCTCTTCCCTTATATCATCGTCATTTGATTGGTGCAAGTGCTCAGGTATAACAACGAACATATTTCAAGTCATTTGCATTCTCCTTTCAGCACTAATTTTGGCTTCATATTTGACATGCTTGATACAGTTACAAAAGGCAGTGAAACTGCTAGATTCAGGGGCTGTTAGGGCCACGAGATTTCTTTGGCGGTATCCTACAGCTCGAGTTTTTCTGTTTTTCTATCTGGTGAGATCAGTTCAAAATGTGTTTAAAAGGCTCAATGGTTGAAATAGGATAAAACAAAAAGATTTGAGCTCTTTGCTAACCTGAAAAAATTGTCCGCAGGTGTTTGTACACCTCTTTTTGATGTATCTGATGCATCGCCTTCAGGTAACAATGTTCAGCTGAATGCAATATTTATAGAACATGGTTTATGACAATAACTAATACAAGCAACCATGATAATCCTTTTAGATTGTTAAATTATGTTGACTTTGCATTTAATTATCTATTCAGGAACAAGCTGATGAATTGGCTACCAGAGAAGTAGCAGCATCCATGGGACTTGCTAACCCTACTTTACCATGAGTATCCGGATACTCCAGGGCGCATATGAGTTTTAATCTATTTCCGGCTTTATGTTTTGAAGCATATAGCCAATTTAGCTGCTGTGTGGTCGCTCAATTATTGTGCAGCAAATTACCAAGTATGCCACCCAAAAATGGAAAGTAAGCCCGCTGTCATGATTCATCTTTAGCTAGGCTTTTTGAGAAACTACTGTGTCTGGATGTTGGGGTTTGGAAAACACAGTTAGGGGAAGCTGAGCTATTCCAATTGGTGGCTGCATCTCTCATTTAGTATGCCCAGCGGGAATAACTGGATTTGTAATTGCATGTTTTTTCGGTCCCTCTTTCCTCTTTTTGTGTTGGTGCGCAGAAATAACACGAGTGGAAGAAAGTTGCTGTAGATACACAATTACATTTCTTAGGGCCATTGCCGATACTGACACTAAACTTGGATATAGCAGATTTTTTTGTCCTAGGAAGTCTGGTTGCCGTGATTACTATTTCTTCAACCGAAATGTGAATATTTAATATTGGAAATTTACCGAATTTTGGGTTCCTTATTTTAGTAGCCATGTTATATCGTGAATATCTCAGCTTCAAGAGTTCGAGCTAATAGGCTCAGCAACTAAACTCAAGCCGTGTCTATCTTGGACGGAAGGTCCGCGGGTTTTGATGTTGAATAATCTCGTATATCTATCTAGGCCCAAATGAAGGGTAAGAAAAGGAGGTAGGGAAGAGAGAGAAGGGAAAGGGGGGGGGGTTAGAGAAAGAAGGAAGGAATAGTCTCAATCTCTGTCTTGTCTTGCACTCCGTCTCTCTACTCCCTTGTGGGATAACTGATGCACAAGGCATATCCCCACGGGGTGCCCAAGAAGGCCTAGATGATAGGATTTATGATGGGATTTTCATGTTCTAGCAAACCAAAGGAGCGGATTCACCACCTCTCAGAATTTGTGCTTCGCGTGAGGTAGTATGGGTTTTGAGATTCAATGTGAAGATGACATTAAAGTTTTATATTCCGCCCCTTCAAGCTTATCGGCTCTTATTTGTGAATAACAACAACAATAAAACTCCCGCTCTATACCGTTAATATTCTGTATGACTGGTGACTTGTATGTATGATGAAATCGATAATCACAAAGCTAAACTATATGTTATAGAAGTTTTATATTTGATAGACTTTCTTACTCTGATACTTCAATTTACCCTTACCGTTCTCCGGTACCTTATCCTTGTCCTCTTACGTTTGAAAAAACGATTTGGCCCAAAAAATCATTGAATAATAGTTAAGAATCAATGTAATAAAGATCACGTTGGCCAAAAAAAAGAGTAACAAGGATTACATGGACTAAAAAGGTCTTATTTCGCGTGCATTCCCCAACTATTCGTTTCATTGTGCTGCTAATTGTGGCCATTCTCCCTATCCTCCATTCTCCCTAGCCAAACATCGTCGGAGTTGGATAATTCTGTGAGGACCTCTGAGTTTCCTAAGCTATTTATTCGAATAATATTTTTTTTTGAAAGTGTTAAAATTATTGCAACATAACTTTTTGACTAATCGACATTGACGTCGACTGATAATTTCAAATTGACGGGAGCATTTTTTTACCCCTAAAACACTCATGGAAGAGTATGAATGATTAAATATTACTTTCAATTCTTAATATAAGAACTGATTAACTAATTTTAATAGATTAAAAAAATAATTAAATTAATTATTTGTAATAAATATGTATTGTCTTTCTTAAAATATCTTTATTAATCATGTGTATTAGTTAAAATTACTATTTAATAAAACATTTAATATGTATAACTGTCATCAGAGTTACTTTTAAAAAAAGTAGATAAATATATTAAACTATTTTTTATATTCGGAGGTACGCTTCGAAATAATTGCATTCAGAAATCAAATCAACAGAATATTCAACCTTCAAAAGTGGCTGCTTGCTAATGCTATCCCCCAGGTACGAGCTGTCATGTTTCTAACTCTTCTATGCAAAGTCGTCCTCATCCTCCATTTTTCTTTTTTCCTTTTGTTTTATTTCGCATTAATTAACCCTACGCCGACAGTGGGGATTATGCATGTCCCACCAATCATGTCTTTGCATCTATCCATTATTTGCTGAGCTGGATAATGTTATCTCAGCATCGAATAATACAAAATTAATCTAAATTCTCTCAATTAGTACTTCAAATCACATATATGATTGTGACTTTGCACAATAAATATCTCTCCGCACCACCCAGCCCCAATTACTCAGATCACTATTTTCTTCAATTTACATGTTTCTTCCCAAATTACTAACTTCTGTTGCTAATATAAAAACTACTTAACTAATTTAAATATATTAAAAAAATTATTGCAAAGACTATCTTGAAAAAAAATATAAATATCATTATTACAAGAATTATCTTAAAAAAAGAGATAAATATGATAAAATATATTATAGATTTATATTTAGGGCCAAAATAAAAGTCAAATAAATTTTTATATTAAAAATTACTTTGGTATTTGGTATCACCTTAACAGTGAATAATAATAATTTCCTTCATATACTTACTTAAAATTAGATTATGAGAGTGGATTAACAGTCTGTTAAAAGTGGAAAGAATTCAATGCATTTTAATTTATTTGTGGTGTAATTTACTTTTTTAATTATCACTTGTTTGAGCATATGCTTAATGGAAATGTAAATTGTAATGTATATCCTTTACTGCTCTCCAAGATATTCCCTAAGGGCCTGTTTGGTTTGAGGGGAGGGGAGGGGAGGGGAGGTTTAGGGTTTGTTTGGTTGGAGGGGAGGGGAGCCCTCCCCTCATTTGGTTAAAAATTTTAAAAGGAAGGAGAACTAAAATGTCCCCTCCCCTCCCTTCCCTCCTCTCATTTTGGCTCCCCTCTGAATTGGGGGTTTTTGGAGGGGAGCCAAAATTTTGGATTATTATGCCCTTATAGTTTTTTTAATATTCCACTTCTACCTATAAAATATATTATTATAATATTTATTTCAAATAAAAAATATATTATCCTAAGTAAAAAAAATAAAAAATATATACATTATTATAATTAAAATATATTATAAAAATTATTTAAAAATAAAAATTTATTTAAATAAAAATTATAATATTATAAAATTAATTGTTTTTTTTATAAATATGTTATTTATTAAATATATTTTAAAGTTGAAAAAAAGATAGCCTAAAGAAAATAAAATTTCATTTTTTTAGAGCATATAAAATTTGTTAATTTGATTATTTTAAATATATTATTATATTAATTAGAATAAAAATTATTGTACCAATTTTTTAATACACATATTAACATGATAAGACTAAATTTTTTTTTAAATTATATGATTTAAATTAAGATGTAAATTAATTTATATAATATATCAATAAAAAACATAAACTAATATGTAAAGGTAAAATGGTAAATTGATTATTACAATCCCTCCCCTCCCCTCTTTGAACCAAACAAGAATCATTAAATACCCTCCCCTCCCCTCCTTTTTAATCAAACCAAACAAGGTGAGGAGGGCCTGTTTGGTTTGAGGGGAGGGGAGGGGAGGTTTCATCCTCACCTTGTTTGGTTTGATTAAAAAGGAGAGGAAGGAGGGTATTTAATGATCCCTTGTTTGGTTCAAGGAGGGAGGGGAGGGATAGTAATAATCAATTTACCATTTTACCCTTACATATTAGTTTATGTTTTTTATTGATATATTATATAAATTAATTTACATCTTAATTTAAATCATATAATTTAATAAAATTCAGTCTTATCATGTTAATATGTGTATTAAAAAATTGGTACAGTAATTTTTTATTCTAATTAATATAATAATATATTTAAAATAATCAAATTAACAAATTTTATATGTTCTAAGAAAAATGAAATTTTATTTTCTTTAGGCTATCTTTTTTCCAGCTTTAAAATATATTTAATAAATAATATATTATAAAAAATTAATTTTATAATATTATAATTTTTTATTTAAATACTTTTTTATTTTTAAATAATTTTTATAATATTTTTAATTATAATAATGTATATATTTTTTTTTTTTTTACTTAGGATAATATATTTTTTATTTGAAATAAATATTATAATAATATATTTTATGGGTAGAAGTGGAATATTAAAAAAACCACAAGGGTATAATGGTCCAAAATTTTGGCTCCCCTCCAAAAACCCCCAATTTGGAGGGGAGCCAAAATGGGAGAGGGGAGGGGACATTTTGGCTCCCCTCCCCTCCAAAATTTTAAACCAAATGAGGGGAGGGGCTCATTTTCCCTCCCCTCTCCTCCCCTCCAACCAAACACACCCTAAAGCTTACTAGTCCTTTGAAGCCTTTGGCGCCAGGCTGCCCGCATGGACCCCAATTAAGACACGTGTGTCCACCAGAGACGACTTTTAATTTCTCTTCTTGGACTTGAAAAGTCCACACCAACTCCTAGTTGTTTCCACTTCTCCCTCTCGCGCCGAACACGGACACAACAAAGCTTCCGTCTTTCCTTTCTCTCTTCCACCTTCCCATCGCGTAATCCTCTATTTTGTTTTATTAATAACCAACTACTTGATTTACCCAGATAAACGGTAATTTTTCAGTATTATTACGCTTTGATCATCAATCACAGAGAAAAAAGTGAAAAACAACCCCATTAAAACTAAAGATGATTACTTTATTATCCATGAGAAACGGATGTGCACTGTGTCTATTTTTTTAGTCACCGGTGCGCTGTGTCTATTTTTTCAGTCGGCCGGGGCACATGGTCCAACCTTTAAACAAATTGAATTGACATGGCCACTTGCTTGGTGGCCTCCCACTGACTTGATGTATAAAAATCATCGCGGTGCATGCAAAGAAAAGCAGAGCTCTTGTGAAGCGGGGACACTGGACTCCAATCAACTCCGGACTTAGTGGTAGCTTTGGTGGTTCGCGGAGGAAAATATCAGAGTGATACCAAAAGGACCATTGCACAGTTGGAAGGAAACAAGAGGAAGGAGTTCGCAGGATGGAGAGCACCCTGAAGGCGATCAGAGATGGAGAGTCGGTGCTGGACCTCAGCCCAAGATCCGTTGTCAGCGGCGGCGTTGAGGATATTTACGGCGAGGATCGCGCCACAGAGGATCAACTCGTCACCCCCTGGACTTACTCAGTTGCCAGGTCAGCTTCTTAAAAATTTGTACTTCCTTTAGCTCACTTCATGGATGCTTGTATACTTGATCGTTCAGTCTTTTCTAACAAATAATTTCACCAAGTTTCTCGGCCAGCATGTTTTGTTTTTGTTGCCAGCATGTTTTCAGTCTTTGTGGTCTGAGTTTGTGTGAGACTTGTGTTGCAGTGGTTACGCTTTGTTGAGGGATCCTCAGTACAACAAGGGGCTTGCTTTCACTGAGAAAGAGAGGGATGCTCACTATTTGCGTGGACTCCTCCCTCCCGTAGTTAGCTCCCAACAACTTCAGGTTTGCATTTCAATGATAAAATTGACACCTTTTTCTCTTACTTGTTAGTGGTATATTTTCATTTTTCTACCCCTTCTTTCTTATTCTCTCTGTTTTATTTTCTTTTGTCCCCAGGAGAAGAAACTGATGAACAACATCCGACAATATCAGGTCCCGTTGCAAAAGTATATGGCAATGATGGACCTTCAGGTATGCATTTTCGATAGCCTCGTTATGATCACGTGACACCGCTTGATATAGCTTTTGGGAAAATCAGACCTTTCCATTTTTATGTCTTGAATGACTATGCCATTTGTTTCGTTTCTCCTTTTTGTGATGCTTGGACTTCCTTGTTGTGCTTCACATATATGTAGCAAAAAGGATGATATGAGAGAGTAACATTGTGTGTTATTCTGGTCTACAGGAGAGGAACGAGAGGCTGTTTTACAAACTTCTCATTGACAATGTTGAGGAATTGCTCCCAGTTGTTTATACTCCAACAGTTGGTGAGGCTTGCCAGAAATACGGAAGCATCTTCAGGCGTCCTCAGGGCCTCTACATTAGTTTGAAAGAGAAGTATATAAATAAATTCCTGTATTCCCCCATGCAATTTTGGACAAGATTTGACTTGATTCAGTGTTACAAAGGTGTTGGCATTTTGCAGAGGGAAGATCCTTGAGGTACTGAAAAACTGGCCTGAGAGGAGTATTCAGGTCATAGTTGTAACTGATGGTGAGCGAATTTTGGGACTTGGAGATCTTGGATGCCAGGTATTTCTGCAAGATACTGATATTCCATGATGTACAGTGATATTAAATCATTCCAGATCGTTCATGGTTGGAATAGATGAACAAGCCTTCACATAATAATGTTGAAAGTATTTCAGGGAATGGGAATTCCTGTTGGTAAATTGGCTCTGTACACAGCACTTGGAGGAGTTCGTCCCTCTGCAGTAAGCATTTTCAGCTTATTGCCTGCTTCTTTTCATTATATCATTATATTTAGATTGTGTAGAGGTCAAGAATCAGAATGTAGAAACATCATGCTGCGACTGTCTTTTGTTTCACTTTTCGTTTATTTTCTTTTCTGTGGCTAGTGCTTACCCATAACAATTGATGTGGGGACCAACAATGAGGAATTGCTGAACAACGAGTTCTACATTGGACTTAGACAAAAGAGGGCAACTGGACAGGTTTTTACATCATATATGTCTAGCTTGAACTTATTTTGACATAATCTTACTATCTGCATCGTTTGACTTGCATTAATTTGAGGCAACTGTGGTGGTTTTTTCTTAGGAATATAGTGATCTTCTGCAAGAATTCATGACTGCTGTGAAGCAAAACTATGGAGAAAAAGTTCTTATACAGGTTATCACTTTCATGCATGCATTATGAGGCTTTTGATTCTATATGCATTAGCCAGCTCTTCGACTGACTATTTAAGAAAATAAATTCTGCAGTTTGAAGATTTTGCAAATCACAATGCTTTTGAGTTGCTGGCAAAATATGGCACAACTCATCTTGTTTTCAATGACGATATTCAGGTACCAACTTGCTTGAAAGCTGACATCTATTCTTGGAAGATTATTATGTTCTAATTAATTATTGTCTTGTTGCATCAGGGCACTGCATCTGTTGTTCTTGCTGGGGTTGTTGCAGCATTGAAGCTCATTGGTGGCTCTCTGGCCGACCATACATTCCTGTTCCTTGGTGCTGGAGAAGTAAAGACTCCTTATTTTTCCTTATTTTATTTATAGCTTAAATATCAATGCTTGTTCCCGCCCTGTTAAACTGAAAGGGAATAAACTAAGTAGTACAAAAGATTAAACCATTTTTCCTATAGAGAATCACGCACACACCTTTCTGTTTGCTTTTATGTATCTACTTAACTTGGTCAACAATTCGTGTGCAAAAATTCACTCATTCTAATGTATTTGACTTGTTTTTATTTCATCTAACTTATTTTCTATCATGATTTCAGGCAGGAACTGGTATTGCAGAGCTAATAGCTCTTGAGATGTCAAAGCAGGTGAAGACCTATTTGTGGCCTATAAAAAGCGAAATTTGTTTTGCAATGGAATTTACCTCATAATCAGTGATTTTCTTACATTAACTTATATTTTTTTGCTCCAGACAAAGAAACCTATAGAAGAGACTCGCAAGAAGATATGGCTTGTAGACTCAAAGGTGGTTGAGAGCTTGATATCATTCCTCGGAAAATTGTTCCTTTTACATTTATTTACTTTCTTGTTTCCTCAAGTTCAGTTTGGTTCCAATTAAGTGTTTTTTGCTTTTTTTATCTCTTTCAGGGTTTGATTGTTAGTTCAAGAAAGAATTCACTTCAACATTTCAAGAAGCCTTGGGCTCATGAACATGAACCTCTTAACAGTCTCTTAGAAGCTGTCAAGGTGCCAAAATTTTTCTGTTTATTTAACAGTTGTTTTTGGAACGGTCTTGACGCTTAAATAGTTTACATATTCAGGTAATCAAGCCTACAGTTTTGATTGGATCATCAGGAGTGGGAAGAACCTTTACGAAGGAAGTGATTGAGGCTGTAGCTTCATTCAATGAAGTAAACACCTCTCTGTCTCTCTCATGTTGTGCCTGAACATTTGCTTTTATTAGTATGTGTTTGTTTATTTGAATATAACTTCTTCAGTAATAACTGTATCTGTGTCATGCTTGGCCTGTAGAAACCTCTTATTTTGGCTCTCTCTAATCCAACGTCACAGTCTGAGTGTACAGCTGAGGAAGCATACCAATGGAGTGGGGTAAGATAGCAGTAGCAGATATATATTTTTGATACTGGTTTGGAGGATTTGATGCAAATTATGTTTGATACTCAATTTTATTGTGATAACATGAGCCATAATTTATGTTTGTTTCCATGAAAAGGGTCGTGCAATTTTTGCCAGTGGGAGTCCTTTTGATCCTGTTGAATACAAGGGCAAAGTCTATGCTTCTGGCCAGGTTTCACAATCTCCTCTAACTTATTTTATGTGATCCTCCTTTAACTGGTTCGAGAACTGGGATTTATATACTTTCTTTTCTCGACAAACCAGGCAAACAATGCTTACATTTTCCCAGGCCTTGGCTTGGGTTTAGTAATCTCAGGGGCAATTCGCGTACATGATGATATGCTTCTAGCAGCCTGTAAGTGGATGATGGCAAATGTAGCATATGATGCATTCTAAGTACATAATATTTTGTTCTGTCTGTCCTCTTTGTGAGCCCACTGCATATATTTTCTTCGTTTCTTCCACTGTAAATGTCTTTCTAAAAAAGAAATCTACAACAATTGCTTGTGGCTGTAAGAACAACAAAGAAATGCTCTATTGAACTTGGTTTCTTTGTCTTGCGCAGCGGAAACCCTGGCTAAACAAGTGACAGAGGATAACTACAAAAATGGATTGATATACCCACCATTCTCTGACATCAGAAAAATCTCAGCTAATATAGCTGCTAATGTTGCTGCCAAGGCGTATGAACTAGGTGTGTGTTTCTCTTTGTCTTGAACTCTTATCAATCCATTTCATGCTTCTCAGGAATGCACGCATTTCCTTGCGTAACTCATAATAATCACTGAACTTCGATTGTAGGGGTGGCTACACGTCTCCCTCGTCCTGAAAATCTTCTGAAGTATGCCGAAAGCTGCATGTATACTCCTGTCTACCGCAACTATCGGTGAATGATTGGCCCAAACATGCTAAGATATCGGCTCAAATAAGGATTTGCGTGTGACATGTAGAATAATGTGCTTTTTATGCAGCACATGCAAGAATGAGTAATTGTATGCTTACCATTATGAAAATCTTATATCGTGCCATGTAATGCCAATGGTAACAAAACTCGCCTTGAAAAGTGCTTGAGGAATCGTGGTGGCCTAAGTTACTTTGCCTTGGCCACTTTGTTTTAGGAAATAGAGCCTCTGGCTCTTGTCCCTGTAATGGCCTACTGGCTTAGTTATGACTAAAACTTACTCCCCCGTGCACGGGGAGATCAAATTGCATGTGGAATTTTTACCTTGAATATGAAATGAAGTTCGTAAAAAATAAAGTGTCAAAGATATGACCTGTCCAGCAATTACTCATCCGGAACTGAATGATAACGAATCAGATCAATGGGCATATCGCATCTAAAAGACGATCATTTATAGAATCAACATGACATTAATATGAATGAACCGCGTTATATTTTCTCAGATTGATATATACTTGCACAAAAGACGTGATCAACTTGGAAGGCTTGAATATTATCTGTACTTTGCATGATGGGCTCGAAACATCAATGTCTTTCAGAGTCTCTAATAATTCTATATCAGTAGAACGCGGCATGAAACAAAATTTTTTATAATGTGGTTATAATTCTAATTCTATCATATAGCATTATAATAATAAATCGAATTAGAATCGCTACGGTGAACTAACGCTTATCAGTTAAGTTTTTCGGGGCTATACGACAACCTATAGATCGACATGCTCAGGGAGCATTCTACACATGCACTTCAAATTTTTCATAATACTCAAAAAATGGAAATGGAATCCAATTATTGATCCAAATATTCCCATCTTTCTGGCTGATATATATACAACAATCTATTGATCACCACGTTTAGAAAGCATTCTCCACTTGCAACATCTTATTTTACATACTCAAATCTAAATGGAATCCAGTTACTTAGAAAAGTTCCTGTTTCTTTTCGGTCAATGAATAAATTTATAGTAATGATTTATATGAACACAACTGGCAAACGGAAGAAGTGAAAGTAGCCCTTTTTTTTTCAAGTGAACGACTTGTGATTCCATGAATTGAGAGCGCAGGGTACAAATCAGGCCATAGCATGAGCGAAATTGAAATTTAAATAAGAAATATGACAAGGCGATTCCATTTCTCATCGTGTTACATCTTAAAAATTTACTAAAAGGAAGGGATCTTCTTCACAATTCTAAATACCTATGCTATGCAACAACTAGCAAAATCCTTCTCATTTACCATAGTTTTGATGCACCTTCGTGAAATCATAAATAGCCTTCACTAAGGAACCGTATCTCATGGAGTTCAATGATCCCATGTGTACAATCTCCGTGTACTTAATTCTCCATGCAGGAAAACCAAGGTGGCACCTCACAGGTCCATAGACCAGCAAAAGGTCAGGTTCCTGACCTCCGTAACCAACAATTCTCAGAGCCTCATCCAATTGAGGTTCAGTCAAGTGTTGAACATCAAGTGTGTCACCCAAACTATGTCGCTTCAAATTTTGAGCAAAAATCCAGTTCGCTGCCTTTGTCATTCCCTCCCTCCCATCTGCATACGAAGCAAATTCTATAGTCATGTGATTAGGACCATGGAGTGCGTCAGCGTCATTAGCCTCCTCAATCTTCAGTTGCTGCACAATCGCTTTCTTAGACTTCTTGATCACTCCAATCCTGTCATAGAGGCATACGTTCTTCACACCAAGAGAATCCAACCACCGCAAAAGCTCAACGACTTTTGAAGTCTGATGAGCATCGTCGCTTTCTATCACGATAGCGAGGTAATGAAGCTTTCCCAAATTACATAATTTGTAGCTTTTCAATACTGCCGAAGAGATCAGGAAGCTTTCACACTTATTACCCAGGGCTAATATGGAATACCATATGCTGACAAGTACATGTAGAAAGCGCCATATAAATCGAAGCCCAAGCTTGCCAACAACGACGATCCCGCAAGACAACTTCTGAACTTCACATGTAGACTTCATGAATTTGGACAGTCGAGCTTGCTGCTGCTTGATTGAGTAAGAAATAAGCGTTACCTCCGCTTCTCTATGCTTCCAAAAGGTATGACGGAATAGGGGATCACCGGAAAGGACTCGAGGGTGTGGTGATGGCGTCAGAAAGCGGGAAGAAGCCGACGTCGTCCTGCGATTAGGGACTAGGGATTTGGGGGTTCCGGGCGCACAAAGACGCGTTGAGCGATAACTAGTGCTTAGTTTTTTTTTTTTTTTTTGGGCTGAAATTGGACACCAGAATTGATTATTTATTATTATTTAATTTATTTTTTTTTTTGAGCTGATATGCAAATTTTATATTAAAACTATGAAATGACGTAATTTTTTACAAAAAATTTCGGGATTTTTTTTATATTAACTTTCGTTGTGAAATGATCATACTGTTTTTGTGTTAAAAAATTCAAGTGACAGCCACAGTCGGCTAAGAAATTATTGGCAAATAATGATTATAAAATCAATTATTACTTTTTACCTTAAAAATAACAAATAAATTTATATAAATAAAAATGAAAGTTTAGGTAGCGATAATCAGCATTTTAAAAAATTATGCTTGAGATTTAAGCAAGGCGATACGTGAATATCAATTGTAATACTACCACTTGATTTTTTTTTAAAAAAACAATTTAATTATATGAGACTGTAACAAAAGTTTCGGCCCCATGGACTGTTTTGAAAAGGCAAGTCTAGATTTTAAATGTCAGTGGTTATCATTTTGAGAAAATATAATTTTTTTTGTTTTTGTAAGTTAGGGTGAATTTAGGTTAAACCTCTCTAAAATTTGATCAGATCTCCTACTAATACTAAATCATGGCCAGTCAGTAGCACATCGTCTTCAATAGCCTTGATAAAAATTGACAATAATCTGAAGGATTAATAATCCCTTAATGGACAAACCATAAGGTTCTTAACTCAAAACTGCTGAAAGTGGGTGAGTACGTAGTCTAAGAGCATTTGTGTTGCTTCATAGAGAAAATTGATGACATATCTCATGAGATTTGAAATATGTGGATGGAGGTATATATCCATAACCATAAGCATAGTGAGTATGAGGTATCTGGCTGCATAAAATGCTTGCGAACAAACTGCCATTAAGGAGTCACTTCATGTTCGCGGCTAACTAGAACTTGCTGTTATATATATTCTAATCGTCACAACAAAGAATTTTCGTCCAACTGATGAAACAATGAAATTAAAGGCAATCAACCATCATATACATCCTCACATTCAGAAAAATAAATCCATCTTCTCTTAAAACATTTACTTCTTTGCATTTTTCGGATACCTTTTATATATATCTCCGGTAAAGCTTCCGAATGTGTATCTGTATGTGCATGGTAATTTCTAAGTCTGCGTACCCAGAAGCACCTATCGGGATTCGACCCGCGTCGCATATCTGGCTGTGATGGGTGAGTCTCCCAACAGGGATTTCTACATATGTTGAGGCTCGAACTCGAGACTTCACTTAAGTGATACCAAGTTACTTACCACTTGGACCAACCCCGTCGGTGACAAATGTGATGTTTGTTCATGATGATCTATAAGCTTTTGCTTTCTCTTCTCTTTCAATGCAGCCCATGTGGCCTAAAAGCAGACCCAACAGCAAATCAAGCAGGTCATCTAAAAACAACTAAAAAATGGCACTCTTTTTCGGTGGACTCTGAACAATGACTTTCTTTACTTTATATATTTTTACTATAAAAATGTATATGTAAATTTTATACTATATATATCTACTACCTCCAGTCTTATTTATAAGACCTCATTTGTAGACTATAAATAACGTCTTATAATTATGATCGAAAGTAGTATATATTAATTTCAACTTCATAACTAATTAAATCCTCTCGTCATCTTCATCATCTTCTAGAAATTGTCTTTTCATTTATTGACAGAAAAGGTAATTACTCGTTTGTGGCTCACTTTGCCGTAACTTGGTTGTCAGGTTTCTATGCTTGCCGGAAGACCATTTACTAATACCCCCGCCTTATCATTTGAAAGGATAGGATAATAAAGAGTTGTCGCCTCGCATTTAGCCTACTCATTTTTTCGGTTTGGACTTAGCTCCCAGTGTCGTCGTCATCATCCATAAATCTATCCATTAGATGTATATATTTATCTTGTACGCATTCAACGTCGACATTCTCTCTCTCTCTCTCTCTCTCTCTCTCTCTCTCTCTTCCTTACCTGACCTTTTCAGTTCATTTAAAACATTTGAATTTAGGCATACAGCATACCTGTAACGATGTTGAGATCTTCAGGAAAGTCTTCCGTTTTAATTCGTATTCTCATTGGATGAAACAATACTCGCTGGACTGTTTCTTCTTCCTCTATATGTGCCCTTCTCTTTATTTTCACTTCCTCCATGCATGGAGCTCATTAATTCCAAGAACAAAACCCCCGTTAAGGAAGAATAAGTAATAACAAGGCACTACACATATATACATATAAAGGTGTAAAGATACTCATACTGGTATATAGTATATATGACAACGTTGATCAAGACATTGTGTAGGTAATTGATGAGAGTGGAGGGAAGATATGAGAGCGGCAGAGGGGGCAGGAGTTGGAGCGAGAGATCCAGGCGGCGATGCAGCCGGAGTGGTACACGTGGCCGCAGGGTATTTGTATTTGTTTGTTTCCATCGTCGGAGTCGAGGTTGCTGCGCTGGTCAAAGCCTTGCATGCAAACGGAGCAAACAGCATCGCCGTCCATGTGCTGAACGGCCGGCAATGTGGCAACGAAGCTCTTAGAGTGGGCAAATCGGCGGCATGAATCACCGGCTGATGAGGCGAGAGCCTCGTCGAGGTCGAAAGCGCCCAAATCGATGGAGTAGGTGGAAGGTGGGTGCGGGGAGGTGGCCAGGTTATTGGCTTCTGAAACGAGCGCGTTATCCATCGCCATATAACTCTAGCTTGTTTTCTGGCCTCCTCACCTGATTAGTTTGCGGGTGGCAGTTTCATACATATATATAACAGCGCCTCATAAGTATGGACCTTGAGTTTTTAATTTTTTGATGTTACGTTATTGGTTGGAGGTTGGCAGGCTGCAATCGTTAAGATAAATAGATAGACCGAGTATTAAAATGTCAGGCACTTGGCCTCAAATATAGCACTATTATGCTCAATATAAATTTATAATACATTCTCTGTAACCTCATAATAAATTCTCGCATAGTATTAAATTGATAAAAAAATTTAGTTTTATTTTCTTATTAAAGTTTTCTTTTGTTATATTTACAAATCATTTTTATGTATCCCTCTTCTTTTTCTCTTTTCAATGAGAATTGAGTAAGAAGTAAAATTAAAAAATAAGTATTAAATATATTACATGTGACTTATATTTAGGATTAAATTTTTTTTCTACAAGTGACTTATGAATTAGAACCAGGGTGGCACTACTAAATATTTTTCTCAAATCTTTCTTAAACACAGGCCGTGAGTTTGAATTATGAGGTAAAAAAGAGTGAGCATTAAAATAGAGAGAATAATATTAAAGTTCAATTTGATAATTAGGTCTCAAAAAACTTTTGAAAATGAGTTGCAAATATTAATTAAAATAATTACAACTATGTCTAAAACTTAAATTGTCTTGTCTGCAGACTGCAATTAATATCGTCCGCGTTAGGTGGTTTTCCTTTCAGCCTCTGGTCCAGAAAAAAAAGACTGCAATTAATTATCGAGGAATTATTTGCAACGAAAGCTATATTTAGAACTTCTTTCCTGAAAAGGATATTGTTAGCTTTGCTCAAAAAAGAAGAGGATATTGTTAGACTTAAATGTCACTGATTCAATCCTTTGGGACCATTCTACCCTTGTTCCTATTATATATTTATACGCATACTTTCTCCCACTCTTAGTTACAGGGCAAACTAATTACTCCGACATTTTGATGTAGCAACTGATATGTGTACACACGCTTGTATGAAAATTTTAATCTTTTTTATCTTGTCCCTTAAGTTAATATCCAATAAAATATTATATCAGGATTAAAAGCTTGCCAGCAATTTAATGCAATAAAAGAATGACAAGATTGAAAACATATATAGACATTGCATTTTTACTTCATATTTTGGACTACACAAAGCTTTAATTGTCTTGTAATGAAGATGGGAGGAAGTTCATAACTTACAAGTCCATAAGTAGTTTTTCATCTATAAATAGTCCATTTCATTAGGAAAAAGAGAGAAAATATTTGCGGGAGGATCGTATTAAATGTGCGAGTTAAAACATAAATCATTTTTGGAAAAAAAAATAATGATTAGTTAATGACCTTGTTTCAAAAAATACGCTCCATAAAGTGAGAATACAGTCACACAATTCCCTTACTTCCTTTTTTTTTTATTGAACTCTGTGATAATGTTCTGGGAAAACCATTTAATATATGTTCGCACCATTGGCCTCTGTAATTTTGTTGTTAGTACTGTTAGCCTCCACATAAAAGGTAACAATAGTACTAACAGAGCAAAATTAGAGTGTTTAATTAAGAGAAGAGAATAACCCAGTATCAAATTAAAAACTGAAAAAAAAATTATAAGCACCTGCAATTAATTTTCCCTAATGTTCTCAAATTTTGGATTATGATTAAATAATTTATTCAAATTACGTAATTAAGATATTAACCAGTACTGTTGACCTGGAGGAAGCCCAAATGAGAGTTCTAAAGTCTAAACGCAGGCTGTATGCCGCTTTGGGTCGCAAGCAAAAGGCTTGCCCAACCCACATCTCATTTTGCATTTGAAAAAGTGAAGTGCCATCAGCCAGTACCATCTATACATTCATATGCTACTTCCAGTACTTAATATAAGACTTTATTTGATTTTTATTTTGATCATGAATATAAGACTCTAATCCATTTTGTTTCTTATATTTATAAATATATATTTTTCAAGGTAGTCTTTCTAACAATGATAGTTTTAGCCAATACACTTGATTAGTAAGGATATTTTAGGAAAGATAATATTTATTTATTATAAATAACTAATATAACTTATTTTCTTAATCTTTTCAAATTATTCAACTAACTCTTATGATTAGAACCGGAGATAGTATTAATATGCATAATATAAAACGTATAACAAAATGTAATGTGTATAAAGTATAAACCATGAATTTTGTTGGCAAAAAACGAATCATGAATTTACAACTCACCTCAGATTCCACGCAAATCATAGCTCACAATTTAATTGTACATATGATCTATTTTATAAATT